TTGGTGAGACTAAACCAAATAAGTTGTGTATAAATATACATTGAAAATATTCAAATTAAATTTAAGATTTTTAGAGCTTAGCTTTTAGTTTCATAAAACAAACATTCATAGTTCATGATAAGAACAACACGAAATATTTTTGAATGAATGATTAATAGCAGAAACTGGGTAATAACATATATCGTAAAATGAAAAACGAATTGGAATTTTAAATCGAGCTAGAGGTAGCAATTTGGTCCTTAGAATTTTCTTTACACACAACCACTGAAAGCCCTAGACAATAATAACGACTTGTAGTTAATGCTGCCCGGCTAACAAGACCCAGAATATCCCAAGGCCAAAAAAAAAGGAAGCCAAGGGAAGACACATAAAACCCTTTTTAATTCGAGTTTAAGACTTTTGGGGCTGGGCTAATGACGCCTTTGGGGAAATTCCCATCAATGGTCAAGGTTGAGACCCAAAAATAAGTCGACCAGTGCATCCAATTAACTGTGAACATAATATCACTCTTTTATAATCAACAGCTGCCATTGGGGCCAACAAACAAATCAATGAAATCAGTGCGAAGACACGAGAACTCATGAGTCATTCAGTCGGTTGTCTTTTCTTTACGAAAATTGTCCAAAATTTAAATTTTTCATACCATTTAAATGAACATCGATTTTTCGGAGGCTTATCAATAGGAACAAATTTTAAAAATGTCTTAACAGTTTTTATATTTTAGCTTGGCCAAAAAAAGGCGCCTAGCTATAAGATTTACTTTTTTGTGAAGCTATCGATCGATTTTGAGAAACGAATTAAGTGAAACTTTTTGCATTTTTTGTTAGGGGTAACTTCATGAGTTTTTTGAGAAAATTTGCAAAAACAATAATAATAATAAACATGTTTAGCTGTGAATGCCAGTTGATTGGAATCTATGTGATGCATTTTTTCACAGGGCTTTAATTAAAAAAATAAAAGATTGATACAATTTAGTTTTAAGTTTGTTGTACAAGTATAATTAAGTCATAGGTAGAAACAAGACATTTTTTCCAGTGATTCATTCTGTTTCTGAGGTGTGGCTGACTTTGATTTGATTGAGCACAAAACTCACCATTTCCCAGCATGTCCAAACATTCAACTGCACTCAGTGTCCGGTGCGTTACATTGAGGTAAGACCGGATTTTGGAGTGGTTTTCCGGGGGCGGAGGGGGTTGATGGACAACCCGTAATACCCTGACTAGGCATGTTCACATGCCACGCCCCTTTGACGCACACGGCAAATGCAACAAGCTGGCAAAACAGGACTGCGCCTAAAACGAGGCCATCTGGAACACATTTTTCGGTCATTGATGGTCCACAAAAATACCTACTACTTTTATTTCTTATTGGAGGCAATTAAAAAACAATTATTTTAAATATATTTCAAATTGCTAGTCATTATTGCATAAGTTTGTTAATTTCCATAATTGAGTCTAGTTTGATTGAGTAATTAACTAAATGTAGTAAACAACGAACTTAAAGCTGAAGTTAATAATCAGAATACTCAATACCGAATGCCTTATACCCTTGGAAAATACCAGAATGCCAGGGTATGAAAAGTGGACCCGAACTGGGGCACATCAATGGGGATTTATAAAAAATGCAAATTCATTAGAGCAGCAGGACGACTGAGTGCTGAGATCTCGAAAGCTGCAAAACTGTGCAACTGTGCAACTCAGTTCAGTTGGGGGTCAGCTGCTGCTCTACTAATTCCGATGGCTTGACAGCGGTAAAAAAAAAAAACGGAGGAGAAATGGGGTTAGGGAGCCTTCGAAACCCCCCACCCCCCAGACACAGAGGCGTCGTGTCAGCGCCGGGCGAAAGTGCAGCGTCAGGGGCTTTCCTCCCCCTTTCTCCAGCTTTCTCCCATTTAGAAATTAAAAAAGAACAGCAGCGGAACAGAACAAGTCGAAGAAAATGTGCAAGCCGAGATGCACATATTGATGGAACAAATGGGAAACCTTCATTTTCCATGCCCTGAAAAATTTTGGGTTTTACAGAATTTAGTAAACGTAAAGTAATAATTTGAAAAAATAAATATCTCCACTTTTTTGATGATAATTATAATTTTTAATACATTTTCAAGAAAGATTTCGTAAATTTATAATGCTATAAATATTAAATATAATAGACTGTAGTAATTTAAATGAGATATTTTGAACAATATAATGCTTATCTTTCAGATTTTAGTATTTATAAAATTCTAATATCTGGAAACTTGTATAATACATGTTTTTGGTCTTAAATACAATAATATCTGAAGGAAAAAAAACATTTTATTATGTGTCCATTTGGGAAAAACATTTGTGATATTTCAAACGAATATATTCTGGTTTTATTGTCAAAAAAATGTTTAGCATTTATTTTAATGCTTAAAATTTTTGGAAAATGAAAACCAACTTATACCATTATTTTTATAGTACAGGATATTGCGATGTCTATAAGGGCAGCACTCAAGCTTTCCATCTGTCATTTCAGGAGGGTTTTTCATCTTCATTTCTGTGGCATGTTTGCTTCATTGTTGCCCAAGTCGCCATGTCCCTCGTGAATTTCCTACCTGAGGTCTCAAAACACATAAATCTCAACATTGAAGCGTCTTTTCAAGAGTAAACTTTGAATAGGAATTCAAATTCAAATCCGCTGCATACTTTGCGGCGCTTATTAAACTCTAGATAAACGCCCAAGTCAGAGTTATGCAAAATAAAAGAGAAAAAATTGGAGGAGGGCCGTATTGAGGGGGCGTGGCAGACCACTAATAGCAGCGCCTTGTTGCCACCGCAAAGTATGCTTTTCGGTTTAATGAAGCAGCCGCGGACTCAGCAGCAGCAGCAGCAGCAGATTCGGCGAAAACTTGTGGAAAACTCTTTCGCGGCAGTCATAAGTTCAATCAACATCAAATTTAATTAAAACGCTAAAAGCATCCGCCCACACCCTCTAATGTAAAGCGCGAAAAAAAATAGCTGGTTAAAAAAAAACCTCGGAAAAGACATACACAGAGAAAAAATGTATTGACTAGGAAAAATAGAGTTTGTAGCTTCCATGTTCGTTAATTTTTAAGGGTTAAATCGTCATAAAAAATCATCTGAAATTTATTACGCATTGTTGTAATTGGCTTAAAAATGTTACAAATTGCTTAAATATTAAAATAAAAGAATTTAATTTAATTCAATTTAATTTAATTTTCTTGTAACCATAAAACATATTCATTAATAATTCTGTAAATTACCCAAAACTGTGGAGAAACTATGCTATCACACTTTATATGTATTGAAAACATACAATTAAAAAAATTGTGAAGCAATTAAGTTATATTTTCGCGCGGTGTATCAAAAAGAGAGGGAGCTAGGAGCGAACATTAAAACGGAAATAATTGTGGTCTGGCCGGAGACTGTCGGACCGGATATGGACAGGTCCTGGGAACGGGGGCTTAGAGGGGGGCGTGGTCAGGATGGAGAGGAGGCGGAAGTGGTAGTGGAAGGGGGGAAGGGGAAGAGGGGGCGGTGGTTCTATATGGTAGGTGAGCTTCGCAGGGGCAGCGACATTCGCAACACTTTTGGTTTGTAATTAAGTAGCCAAATGGCAGACAGACAGCCAGAGGGGAAAACACAGAGAAGATAGGGGGAGGGGTCGTAAAAGGGGTAAAGCACAGAGACTGAGAAACCAACGAAAGGATGCTGGCCATCCGCAGCTAATCATAGTTACACAAATGCTTATGGCGGAATTAACTTGGCCACCAACGATGATTAACAATTGAAATCGATGGTATGAGCCAAAGAGATTTCAGAAATTGACCGCAGGGATTTTAAAGTTCAGTTTTAATTACATTTGCAATTAAATAAAGTGCTTCGAAGTCTCCATAGTTTTCAATTTCAGTTAAAGGCAAACTTTTAAAGAAATTTAAAATTGAAATTGATTTAACTTGAAAAAGAAAAAGTTCCTCAAAGTTATGATACATAAATATTTTATTAGTTTAGTATTAACATAGATATTTTAAAAGCAGAAAAGAAAGAAAGTCTACTAAATTATCTTTGAAGTCTACAAAATAAATATTAGAAATTTTGTATGACAAATTAAAAAAAGACATCAAATACAACTAATTTTAAACAAGCTTTTATAAGCTTTAAGCCTCCGTGAATTCAAATCACCACAGAATAAAGTTCATTCTCATGTAAAGCAAATAAAATTTAATTTTTAAAGAAAATGTTACTCAAGTGCATTAATTGTTAATGAGAACAACTAGACAGCCAGACCAAACAAAGGAAAACTTTAGCAGACTTAAAATCCCTAGAAGGTTAACTCGCAACTCTTGTTGCCCATTTTTTTCAGATTTTCCCGTATAAAAAATAAAATTAGTAAACTAAAACAGAGGCCCAAATACAATTACAAACACATTTGTCCAACCATTTTTGCACTTGATTTTTTTTGTTTTGCCCTTTAGCAACATTGGTGGCATGCTCATTTTCAATTTGCAACACTCGTGGGTGTTTTTGCAATTGCAACAATAGAAAAGGACAACAAACTCAAGAGGCAGCGAAAGAGATGGGGCGTGATATGGAGACAAGAACAGAAACTCAGGCACAGCGCAAATTGTGTGGAAGAAATAAGGGAAAAGTGGAAATGCAGACAGGCTCAGTTAGTGGCAAACTTCTGCCGCTTTGCAACACTTGAGCACTAAACACTCACCGATAGAGAAGGCTATACAGCGCTAAAAATGGAAGGCTAAAAATGGTTTAGAGTGAGAGAGAGAGAGAGGGGGATAACACCCACCTGCACATGTGCGTGTGAAACTGAATCAAAAAGTAATTTTTACTTCCGGCAATTACACAGCTGCATTTAATTAAACACCAAAAAAAAACGTATGTATATAATGTGCTTCGTTAACTAAGCTTGGGCAATGAATTTACAATTTAAATAGTATTTTAAATATAAAAAGTTCCTTAAACATTTTACTAACTTTGAAATGTTACATTCTAATGCAGGTTATCAGATAATTGAATCACCGCTAAATTATAGAGGTGCGCAACTTGAAGTAATGTGGTCTAGACTTGAAAAACCTAAAAATGTGTGTAAAGTCTACCAAAACTTCCAGCTTTGGGATGCGATGCAGCTCTCTCTCTTTTAACCAATTGAAGGTAATTACCTGAATTCCTCGATTTCCAGCTGAAAATAAACACAATGTTCTGCAGGTTTACTTTCTCAACAAAGCCAAATCGGAGTAAATAATAATAAACTAGACCCATGGCAAGCCTTTGCCCCTTTTGGTAAATCCAGTCCTACCTTATACCATTTTTCCGCACCCTCTTCAGTCCCTTTTCCCACCCACTTTTCACCAGTTTTCCCCACACCCCCCTACATTTCCACCCTTTTGCCCCTCGAGCAACCGCAACATCGACAACTGCAACAACAATTGCTTATTTAGTGCTGGCAATCTGTGTTCGATGTGTTTCGATTGTTGTGGCTAACGGCCGCAGGTGAAAAGTGGGCGTCAAAAGGGGGAGGGGCACACAACAAAGGTACCGAAAATCGAGTGCGGAAGCTTCAGGTTCAGTGGTCCTTTTTTGCCAAAGCAATTAATTTGATAAAACTATTTGCGATTTGCACGCAAGCCAATTTAAAATCAAAATCGAAGTAAATGCCAAAAACAAATGATGAATTGAGGTACTTGCGGCTATGCCTGCATGACACTTAAACAAAAAGTTCACTTTGAAATGGTGTTTTAAAAATATTTAATTTAAGCAAAAAGCAATTTTATTTTCGAACAATGTTTTAAGATTATTTTTAGGATAATAGATATATTAATTCTAATGGAGTTGAAGGGAAATCTTTTTTTTTTTTTGTAAATAACTACCATAAATACAATGAGAGGGCAATAATAAGGGCAATTCATAGACGAATATACATCATAAATATCAATAAGATCCATCAAGATTTGTCATAATGCCGGGAAAACATTTCGGCGCATTAAATAAATAATTCATCCGATAAACACTGGTACTCCAGCCGGGGCTAATAACAGATCTAATGCCAAGGCAAACGCTACGAAATGGCAAATATATAGAGCACATAAAACCGACAATGCCGTCATAAAAGTTAAGACAAAAGACAAGCGAACGCCACACACAATCACTCACACATTTTATTTCATAAGCCAGGCATCTTAATCTCCAGAAATAAACTCGTTGACACCCGTTTTCATTCGCCTCCCTTGACAAAAAAAAACCCCCTCCCCCCTGGAAAAAACCCATTTCCCCGGAAAACCCCAGCCCCACATTTCCATCCACGGCTGTGTACGATGTTTGAAATTAATTTTATTCACACAAAAATTCTCGCGCTCATACAATTTCATTAAGCAAATATTTTCGTCGCCCACCAGCGTTACCTCTTCTGCCACGCCCAACCATCTGCCCCAGCTAAGACCACGCCCCCATTTTGCAACCTTAAGGAAAACAACACAACACACAAAACACAACAAAACAAACACAAAATCAGAAGGCGTAAGAGGTATTTTGCTCTTGGCGTGTTTAAGAATTTCGTGGGCATCTCTTGGATACTTTTTACGATCACGTTATACTTTTATGATTCCTTAAATCCCACTCACTTAATCGTACTTTAAAGTAATGCACCAACATGGAATTCTGCAGTGAACTTTGCAATAAATTCACTGATTAATTATACAATGAACTCAACAAAAGATTTTTTAAATAATTCAAAATAATGATGAGCTAACAAATTAAATTTTAAATAAAAAATAAATTAAAAATTAATTTCCGATAAACTCCTTGTCGAAGTATTGGAAATAAATAAACCAATAAATTTATTCATTTTGTTATAAAAATTTGTTAGAAGACCATTACATGACCCAAATATATTTAATAATGCTGTCTTTCTGGGAAGACCTTTAATTTTTAAAGATAGCAAAAACGATGTTTTCTTAGCCTGAACTTTTCTTTTAACTTTTTGTCTTTTACTCGCTTTTTTTTTTTTTTTTTTTTTTTTTTGCTTGAGTTAACGATGCACAGCATTTATACGATTTTAATGCCGCGAGTGGTGCACAAGATACTGAATCCTTACGTTGAAGCCACCCACAGCCCACTCATAAAACAGGGCATATAACAAATGATGGTCCCGGCCACGCCCCTGCCCCCGCCCCCAGTAAAAAAACAAAAAAAAAGACAGCACAATTAATGCATTAAAAAGAGCGACGAGGATGAGGAGGCAATAGCGAAACATTTGCAAAGCCAATAAAAATGCCATTTAATGACGCCTGCAAATTTTCGAGCCTCAAATAATCAGCATAAAAATGAGCAAAAATGCTGAATATTAAATTAATTGAAATATCCCGCAGTGAGGAGGCGAAGCAGCATTTAAATACAAAACATTGCCGAAGTCAAATGCCAGGGATTTTCAACCAGCGATTGACAGGCGAATTGTGATTGTGGCATGGCGATTAAAATGCGATACGGCTCAAACCGATAATGAGCCAAACAGTAGCGAGGTGAATTCGTAAATGATGCTCCAAGGATTAAAAGGGGGAGTCCCTTTAATTGAATTATATACTTCAGGACATCATTTGAAAATTAAATTAGCAAATCAAAAGTCCCTTAATGACGCGCTTAAAATTTCAATACATATTTTCTAATTTATATCTGAAGCTTTAAATAAATAAAATTTGTTAAGATATGTTAGATATGTAATTTTTAAATAAACTTAATAATTTATTTATTAAGGCAAACCAAGGATTTCAATCTGATAATGAACAAAATCAAAATACATTTAAAAAAAAACTAAACTATTGAAACTAAGTCTTAAAAAAATTTATCATTTTTAAGACCTAACTTTTATTTAATAAAAAAAATAAAGATAAAGATTTATTCAACATAAACGTAAATTAAATAAAGTTATTAATTTCTAAATGATTGAAATTGTCTGGTTTATTAAGGCGTTGAAACAATACGCAAAATTATATTTAAGTTTAACCAACACAATGTTGGATTCTGGCGTCCAAGGAAAAAAAGCACTCAGGACGACAAACCAATTAAGTCAAAGGACACAAAAGGAGAATTTGTAGGGGTAAGGAAGTAAGGAATAAGAAATGAAAGGAGGAGAATGGAGAATGAGGACGAGGACGAGGACGAGGTCTTTCGGACAAATCAGTTTCCCCATTCGGTCCAAGATGTTGCTCTGCCCAGCTTATTGGCTCAGTTGGGAAAGTACGGCGGTATTTCCACCAGATACCCCATTTCTTGAACTCCCTGCCGTCCACTTCACTTCACTCCATCCATTCCATTCCATTCCATCCATCCATCCATCTCAATTTACTGCGTGAGACTTTTGTCAACGCACGGCGAGAAAATGAATGCCAGAAATTTCCGAGCCCAAACGGAAAAAAATGGAATGACAGTAGAAAATGGAGAAAACAAGTGTGAGGCTGCCAAATAAGAAATGGGAGTAGGCAGCTGGCAGCCACCAACTGGCAACAGACATTAGGCTACCACTGTAACAGCCGTTAAATTTGTCCACTCTAAAAAATTATACAGATATTAATACTAGTTGTAAAAAAGATTTCCTAAATACCTGCCAATATGCTTATACTTGGTTTCCATGTCGTATACTTGTTTTTCAGGTCGTATGCATAATTTTTTATAAGAAAAACTCCATTTATGTGAATTTTGCTCGATTAAATATTCTTGTAGATGTTTCTCCAAGTGTAGAAGCAGCAGAAACCGACTGTAACGGAACACCGTGAAAAAAAGTGTTGCCCAAAAAAGCAATTTATGCGGGTCTTTTGCCGCTTTCCCTCTCTCTTTCTCTCTCTCTCGCTTTCTCCTGTTGATAGCTGAGGCCACAATGTGCGTTGGTGTGTGTGTGTGTGTGTGTGTGTGTGTGTGGGCAAACATAAACAACAGTTACGCTCGAACAACGGGCAAAGTTGCATTTCCGCTGTAACCGTTTTCCGCACAGGAAATGCGTTCGACGCGTGTTTGAAATATTGGGCCCGAAAGTCTCTCCCCTGGATTTCCCCCAGGCTTTTCCCCTGGCTTTGGCTTTGCCTTTGCATTTTCCCCCATTGGTTTTTCTCCGCTCCCTGCCCCCTTTTGTGGTCAACTTGCCTGGCCAGTGATTTTGCTGCCCAGTTCTTTGGAAATGCTCTTTTCTCGCCAAACCAGTTTTCATCTCATTTGAGCGAGCATTTAATGTTCAGCCTTCGCGGCCTGGGAAAAACTGCGCCAGGAAATGATTCTTAATCCCCTCGATTTTCCACCCAGAAAACCATCTACGAACGCGTGGCAAGGGCGGGGGCAGGGGGATTTTCCGCAAAACAGTTTTGTTGCTGCATCGCAAATCATGCGTAATGGAATTGAAGTCGCAAAAATTGTTGGCCGCTGTTTGCGACAGATTAAATTCGATGCAAAACAATACGCTCGAAAACAAAGGAAATTAAATAGTTTACCTTAAAAAGCTATTTCGGTATTAATTAAAAAAACAAACAAATTTATAAAGCATTATTTTGTAGTCATGTAATTAAACAACTAAACTGTTTACTGCTTCTTTTTTGGACACCTTTTTAATGATTTTAGGTAACTGGGGTTTGTTTAATAGTTTACAAATATGAATAGTCAACCAACATTAATATAAAATTTATTTTATAAAGGAAAAACCAAAAAAATAAATTGAGTTTATTTATAGAAATTATTATTTCTTTTCTGAGCAAAACACAAATAAAACTACTGATTAAATTTAACAGATACATTCTCCAAGTTTCCATGTCTTCATGGATTAAAAATAAAATAACCATATATTTTGGGTTTTTTATGATATGAAATAACCTACATTTTTTATTTTTAAGTTATCATAAACTGTTTATATATTTAACATGTGCAATTAAAGATTGCAGCTTTAAAAACCATACAATATCTTTAATATTTTATATGCCTTCCTCTCTTCTTATTTTATTTATCGGCAAGCAAAACAATTTCATGAATTCCCAATCGATTCACCTTGATTGCCATACAACTCTCCCATTTTTGCCGCATTTTTCCACCTTGGCCAATTGCGATTTGATTCATGCTCTTTGTGTTTTCCTATGCTGAAGTTTGCCCTCGGCCGAGATTCACCTGCCCGAAGAATAGGTGTCCGAAAGAGCCACGCCCCTTTTCGCACCTGAGTAACACCACCCGCAACACTTCCCCCTGCCACGCCCACTGGCATGCCTGCATACGAAATGGGCAACACATTGGCTGCACTTGAACTGAATTCCCAGCGCATCTTGTTGTTTCTCCGCCTTTTGTTTTCCCTTTTCAAAGCCACTCTTTTGTAAGCCACTTGACGGCCCTTTGACCGCCTTCCTTTCGGAGGGGAAATTGCGGGAAAACAAAAACAAGTCAAGCGCCTTCAAATATGCAGCACACCACGTGTACTTGTTGTCCTTGGCAGCATCCGTAATTGCTACACCTTCGCTCAAAATTGGTTTCTACGCTGCAAGATCAAACATCACTTGAATTTGTCAACTATTTTTGTATTTAAGTTAAAAAATAAAAAACCATTTAAAACAAATTTTTAGCAATTATTAACAACTAAAAAACTATATTACATTTCTTCTATTTCAAACATTGTAAATTCACTTATGGCAGAAATTGATTTAAGTGTATTAATTGTATTGTCGTTCAAAATTGGTTACAAAGTTAAAATTCAATTATGATAGAACTAAAAACAATTGAATTACCTTACTGTTATTATAGAAATTATAAATATTATAAAAAACTGTAGGAAAATACATGATTGTTTTAAGATTTACTTGGCTAAAAATATTTAATATTATTTACAAATTTTACATAGATTTTTAAAACATTAATATTTTTATTTCCCGTCAATGGCAATTACCCTGGCTCGAAAACTTTTCATTTTTTTCCCGTCTTTGAGAGATGGCTAATGAAGGACTTCGGTTGTTCAACTTAATTGATGGGGGGCCTCGGAGAATGGAACTGAAAACTAAACAAATGCCTCGCTTCTGTGCATTTCAATCAAAGCGTACTTCAATCGATGATGACAGAGTTCGATGATTGGGGCGTAAGCCGCTTAGGGTTTGCACATGGAAATACCCACAGAACCACATACTTGAACCACCCAATTGAACCACCCAATTGAGCCGCCCACTTGAACCAAAACAGACACATCGGCCCACCCGCAATCGCAGCATCAGTTTTTGGTATAGTATTTTGGCAAAAGCGATTAATTTCGAGTAATTGCAACTTAATGAAAAGCATTGAATTGTGCAAATTAATAGGAATGTCTTCAGCATTCTGATTTCCAGACATTCATGTGTGTTTTAGTGCCTGTTAATTAATGCTTTGATGAACCGCACTCAACCACTTGGCCGTTTTCCACCTGCAAAAGGCCCAAAGTCCCGGAGATTTCAGATGCCGAACCGATTTTCATCTGCGGCAATTGCGGATTTTGGCCCGGAATTGTAAGCGATTGCCATTCGCCATCGGGGCGGAATGCCAAATAGGTTTATCGTGTCTATTTGCCTATTTTAGCAGAAAATTATGTTAAGTAAGTCGAAATGCCAAGCTAAATGGCTTAGGCTTATGCCATATAGGTGGCTCAAACAAAAATTGGCCAAAAGGCTTAAATAGCATTGACCTAAAGTTGAATAATCTTTATATACGTTCATTTAGGAGCACAGTTCTGTATATAATGCACGGATTTTCACAGTTTTGCCTTGATTCCACTTTATTTTTAAAATTAAATTTGAACAGATGGCATTAATAATATTAAAAATTAAACTAAAATTAAGTTTTTCTTATAATTGAAATGGACTTTTCTAACTAATGTCATTTTAAACAATTTTCTAAAATTATTAGTGCCTTGAAATACATTTTTATTTTAAGAAATATATTCAAATATACCTTTAATAAATTATAATTATTAACATTTTTTTAACTATCGATTATACTTCATTTTAATCCGCAGTTTGATTGATTGATCTGCGGAGCAAGGACAAAACAGCGACCAAATGCAAGATGAATCCGGATCAACCGATGCCAATGCAAACCGGGGCGCCTCCGCCGCCGCCGCCCTCGCAGCTGACCGCTGCCCCGCCCACCGGCTCGATGGCCACGTCCACAGCGCCGCCACACTACGGCAGCGGAATGGGAATCCAGATGCCGCCCACCTCGTCCGCCGGCGGAACCGCCGGCAACTACGTGTCCATCGGCATCCTGCCCAGTATGTCGCCCGCCCAGCTGCCCCCGCTCCTCCTGCCCGCCCCGCCGCCCGCGACGACGACCTTCAAGACCACGCCCCTGTTGCCCATGCCCACGCTCGAGGACATTGAGGTGGCCAACCAGACGGGCGGCCAAAGTGGTCAGGTGGGTTGCCCTTGAAACTTGCGTATTTCATCATAAATTCATTGCATTTACCACAGTTTTGGCCAAATAATTTAATTTTCATTGGTTCTGTTAATAATTAATAACTACATTTAATCTATTCAAATTGAAAATGAAAATAACAAAACATTGAACTAAAATCAGGGAATAATTAAACCTCAATTTTGCTTTCTTCTTAAAATTTCAATTGTTATTTTCATAATTGCTTTTACTTTAATAACCCACTCAATAGACTTCAAAATTAAACTATTAGGTTCAATTATAAATAGGAATTGCCAAAGTGGACAGGTGGATTGCCCTTGAAACTAACGTATTTCATTATAAATTTATTGCATTTTCCTAATAATTTCATTTTTACTGGTTCACCTTGATAAATAATAAATAAATTAAAACAATGAACTAAAATCTGGGCATATATAAACCGCATTTATGGTTTCTTCCTAAAATCTAATTTAAATTGTTTAAATTTAGGAAAAAAAATAGTCAAACTTTATAATTTTGCCTTTTTATATATTTATATTCTTTTTAGGTTATTGTATCCTTGGCCCAAACTTCAATGGCGCCACCGGGTATTTTAAAGTATCCCACGGCGAGTTATGTGAACGATTTGATGGCGCCGCCGCCCACCATGTCGCTGCCCCTCCCCCTGCCCATGCCCCTCACCACGATTGTCAGTACCGCCGGCAGCAACAACATGAGCGCAAGCAACAACAGCAATTGCGGTACGCTTAAAAGCAATGCCAAACTTTTGCCGCTGCAGCTGATGGCCACGCCCCCCAGCCGTAAGGAGGCGCAGGCGGTATCGATTCAGGCCCAAGCGCAGGTGCAACACCAATTACAGCAGCAACACCAGCAGCAACAGCAACAGCAACAGCAGCAGCAACAGCAACAACAACAGCAGCAACGGCAAAGAAAGCGGCAGGGATTTTGCTCCTGCTTTGGTTCAGGTGGCGGCAGAGGGGGAGGGGCAGGCGGAGAGTGTCCTGGTGAGACCGGAAAGACACCGCCCGGATACGGAAGCAAGGACAACGGCAAGAAGAAGAATCGCAAGGCCACCACGCAAACCGTCTGGTCCGCCCTCCTCACAAATCTCGGCATCTGCATGCTGCTGCTCGCCTACACTTTGCTCGGTAAGTAAATCCAAATTAAGTTTGACTAATTAATTCAATCAATTAACGAAACGCAACGCAACGAAACGCAACGAAACGCAACGCAACGCAGCGAATTTAATTCAAATAGTTACGCTTTGACGAGAATTTAATTTCATTTATTTTTCAATTTAAAATTAAAAGTGGAAAACGAGAGAGAAATAAATATTTTTTCACCACGTCTCCGAAATCCTGTAGTAATTTCGAAAATAATTTCAATGTAATAAATATACCAAGAGAATATTTACTTACAAAATAAATAAAAAGTTGAAGCGATCACAATAATATAAATTAAAAAAAAAATGATAAAACATGACAGAAAATTAAGTTTAATATTATATATCAAATCATATATAGTTTTGCAATTAAGACTATGTTGTTTTGGAAACTACTATGTTCATGGAAACTACCATTTCTCGATTTAATTCCTATCAGCCAAGAATACTTAACTATTTTTTATTAAACCCAATTTTAAGTTCGGAACATACCCAAATTATAGAAATCTAGCGACAAACCTAAAAATGTAAGATAAATTGAAGAAACATTTTGCTTTATTAGTAATAATAGTAATAACTGTCCTTAATTATGTCTTTATTTGAGTGACTTTAAAGGACATAAGTGGCCGTGCCTGCAGCTAAATAGCCGAATTGACGGCACTGTGCGTGACAGGCACTCACATATCATTTGTATCCGCTGTCTGTTCTTGCCACTTCATTGTTGTTGCCGTCCTAATTAACGCGGCGTCTTATTTCGACCATGCGTTCATCTCATTTGCTCTTTTTGCCGCGCGTGTTTCAGATACAGATACATTTACAGATACAAACACAGATACGTTTGCAGATAACTTAATACGACACAGGAAAAAAAAAGCTGAATAAAATTATGATCTCTTTCATGATAAATAATCAAGTTGTGGCAATAATACTAAGTACCAGTAATAGTAAATAAAAATGTTACTTCATACTTTTTTATTTCGAAATCAAACGAACAAAGTATACACATATTTGATTTGGGAATATAAAATCGAAATCGAGATGAATTTTTGTATCTGTGTAGTGAATTCGGTCACTGTTTTCGGGACATGGAAGAAACAAGGATGCTTAATGTATCTTGTCACAGAGTTCGACGTTTAAATTAACCAACAACAGGAACTGGGTGGAAAGCCGCACAACAACGTGATAAATTTAATTAATCATTCGCCACGAACATTGCCCCGCCCCCTTTTTCGTTCCCATTGATGCCAAAAACAAACGTCAAAATGGCGGCCAAAACTTATGTCCTCCTTGTTGTACTTTCGGCACAGTGATTACAAAGAAACTTTTGATTGTAATTCAAATTATAATTTGTTTTTTTTTTTTTTTTTTTTTTTTGTAAGTACAAAGCTAAAACATACATTTTTAAAATCTTATTAATATAGAAGATTTTGTTTAAATTTGTTTTATAAAAATAAGCAAAAACTTTGTATGTTTTAATAAATTAAAGTTGATTGTCTTAAAAATAAATTAATAGAAATTATACAAATTTATATATTTATTTTTTCTTTTTTTCTGCGATAATTTTTTGTGTTCATATAAATATTTTATTTTATAAAAAATATTAACTGAACCAACAAGCTAGCCAAAAAATGTTTAAATAACCACTGTAAGCAGACTGAGTTTTTGATTGTGAAAAGTGTGGCGTTCTTTTTGGGCACTTTTATGTTTATGAGCGGGTATTAGAAAACCAAAAGACGACACTTGACGCGAAATCCGTCACTTTCTTCGCAACCGGAAATCCATCTAAGTCGCTTTCTCCATTTCGCTGCCTATTTCTCTGGCTGATTCTCCGAATCTCCCCCTCTTTCTCCAAATCTCTGACGGTGACGGCTGCTTTGACAAGCGATGCTGAGAGGCAGCAGCAAAATCAGCACGGCAGCAACATCAACACAACAGCAACATGGCCAGGCACAACAAACATGTGTGGAAAATACTTTAAACAAATCGCAAAAATTAGCACTTGTGTGTGTGTGTCTGTGAGTGTGTGTGTGTGTGTGCGACAGCTGGGCGAAAAAGTTGTCCCTTGTTAGAAGGAAATCATCAAAATGACACAAACAATTATTTAACTTTCGCTAGGCCGTGCGTGAAACCCGGTGACGTCACACGACACACACGCACAAACACACACGCACACACACACAAACACACACACATGACAGATGAATTTTCCCGTTTACAGGGTTTTCATGCTCCAGCAAAAGTTACAAGTTGGACAAATAGGTTTACTTAAAGTAAAGGTTTTGCACAGCGAATAAATCTTAGAATACTTTGGTGTAGATTTTATAGTTAATGGGTTATAAATTTATACTTATTCTTCAGTATTAACGAACAAAAAATACATTGTACTTAAATAAAAATTAAATTTGCATTTATTTATTGCAACGTTATATTTGAAAGTTCATTTCGAAGCTATTATTGCGAAACATTTAGCTAGGATCTTATAATCACCATATTTTAGAGAAACTAAATATTATAAATATCAGAAGAAACCAATTAGTAAATAAAATGGCAGAGGAATTAAAATATAATAATAATAAGCAGTAAACTTTACCTGAACAGTGAAGGTAAATAATAAATAATTGAACTCTAAATAAAATCTAAATATCAATAACATAGCAAAGGTAATAATGAGCCTTCAGCTCTGTGTCCAGCCCATCATCTTGGCCTTTCTCGATCCGATTTTCCACCATACGAGTATTATTTTTAACTTTGACATGTGTTGGCTTTTGGCGAGGACATCAACTCATCATCTCACATACATTCAACATCATTCTCAGCCGGCGATGGCCAAAATAAATGGGAACTTTGGCAGGCAGGCAGGCGAAAACTTTTCAAAAACTTGACAAAATGTGTCACATGTGAGCATTAACATTAAATGAGTGACAGGAATCAACACGGATGGCCCCAAAGGAGCAAGAACTCTGGCAATTTTATCGATTGGGGTCGAAAAGTAAGATGTAGGGATGAACTTGAGCAAGGCCGTTGACATTTCATTAAAGTGCTTCAGAAATCCGGCGAGTTTAGCAAAAAGAAACTAATTAATTTAAATAAACTCCTTATAAAATATTAATTTTAGTTTAAGACAAAATGTTTTACTTGGATTTAATCAGATTTTTAAGACATTTTGTCTGAATTTTTAAATAAATAAATTTTAAAATATTTAATATGTTAGGGTGCCACACAAATCACTTTAAAAGGTTTCTTAAGGAATGCTGCGATATATTTTTAAACCTGAAGTCTTTTGCATAATTACAAATCATTCAAACCTCTAAAAATTTCTATAGCACTTCTGTTTTCCTTAGGCATTCTCATAATTTAGCATGAACATGCAAGAGAATCCTGCCCTTCAACAGTGTGCTAGAAACAGGAAGCCCTTAAGCTGACTCAGACCGATTGCAACACCTTCAAGATGCTTTATGACTTCAGTCCTATCTCCTTCCTCCAACAGCATCCTTTTTGCCATATAGGAAACAAATGAGTTACCGCTGAGTTCATCTTTTTGCCAGAGATTTGAGAAGCGGTGGCATAGATATTTTGCCACATGATGCACAGAAGAAAAAAATCAATATATTTTTTATAAGGACTTTACAGTAAATTTAAATTTATCCATTTTAAAATATAGAAATTTTTTTAATAGGTTTTTTATCATTCATTTGTTATTGTTTTTTTAATTGTGCAGTTTTTATGTAGCTCAAAAACTGATCTCATTTTGTAAAAACTGTTTCAAATAGAAAAGTAAATTTTTCTGTACCAACATTTTTGGCGATTTCTCCAAGTGTTGCTTTGCTGATGTTTGGCTTTTGTTCGCACAACTCCTTGCAGGCTCCTTCATCTTCCTGACCATCGAGAACGAGGACTCGGCCCTGCTGCATCAGCAGCACACATTGGCCAGCACCAAGCGCAACATGGCTGGCTTGGGTATCGGAATCGGGATCGGGAACAGTGTCTATCAGCAGAGGACACCGCAGCAGCAGTCGCAGCAGCAAGGACATCAGGCGGTACAGGGTCGTCCGGCGGACAATGACACGGTCGCCGCCGCCGTCGCCGCCCAAGGAATGCCGTCCGGAAATGCCAACGATTTCGTCTACGGCGTGGACGATGCGGCAGACTTGGAGGCCGGCGGCATGCCGCAGTTCGCCCTTTCGCCGGACACCTACGATGTACGGCAGCGGACCATCGAGAATATCTGGGACATCACCGTCTCGCTCAACATTCTCTACAAGGAGAACTGGACAAAGTGAGTTTGAAGTCGAAGGCGTTCTAAAAACGCAATTTCCAAATATTCCTCACCAAAATGAATCTTTTCGAGTTCATTTCGAGTTCATTTCGAGTTCATTTCGAATTCATTTCAATTCTTTTTTGTGATGACTTTTCGATCAGATCTATTTTTGTAATGACTTTATGTATGGAAATGTTGAATATATTTATACATTAATATTTATTTTAACATTAAATTTCAATAAAAAATCGTTTAAAAGAAAAATCATTAATATATTTTAAAATAATTATTTATCTTGTTTATCTTGTTATTTTGTTAAATAATATATTTTTCATGCTTTTAAGTTTCAGCAAAAATGTAATTGAACATTTATTACATAGATTAATGATTTAAGATAAGTGCATATTAAAGAAGCAAATCAATATCTTAGAGGAGAACTTAATGCTAGTAACCTTGGCGTATACTTGATTTTCTATTGATTTGATATTGATTTATTCATATCTCCATCTCTCTCTATCCCTCTCTCTTTCATCGTTCTTATCTGTCTCCGTCTCCGTCTATCTTACAGATTAGCCGCACTTGAAATAGCCAAGTTTCAAGACCAATTAATCAAGAGACTGAACGAGGATGTTATGCTGCAATTATCGCACGACGATGTGGCCAACGCCCCCTCCTCATCCTCCTCGGGCGCCTCTGGTGTGCCGGGGGGCAACAATCCGGCCACGGAAGCCGTGCTCCTTCACACACACTATCACCATCACCGCGCCGGAGGCGTTGGAGGCGTCGGGGGCGTGGCAGTGGGAGGGGGACCGCCGCATGAGTGGAATTTTGCCAAAGCGTTTTTGTATTCGCTGACCGTTTTGACCACAATTGGTAAGTGCCAGTGGCCTTCTGTGGCCTTTACAGACACAGTAACCTCCCTCCCTCCCCCCCTCCACAAAAAAAAGGGGTGATAGAAACAATGGCCCCCCTATTCCGGTTCCCTTTTTTCCCCACACTGCCTGTGGGCCATAAATTTGATGTTCCAGCAACGGAAATTTGTTTTACTTGAATGGCGAGTGCGCTCTTGTTTGCAGGATACCAAAGGCAATAGCAACTGAAAAGGCGCGAATACACCACGAAAACAAATATTGCAATTTTAAAACCTATAATAATTTTTGTATCCAGTTCAAGATGGACTAATTAAGGGTATTTTGAAAATTTTGATATGTTTAAGATAATGCTATTTCAAAAAGTAACTTTTGAAATTTTAAGTAATTTAAATTTCACGATTATATCTTATTTTCAAAAGAATTTTACAATACGAATATAATAATATTAAATTGTAGTTTAAACGAAATCATTTGCTAAAATATTTAGCACTAGAACTGTTCGAGTCCCAAATTCTGTTCGTTAACGTTAACGTATTTTTCTCGGTGTATAAGAATGGGAAAATGGATTGGTGTGGGGTTATGGCTATGGGCATGACCCGTACACCTTTTGACACCATCGCATGAGTGCATTTGGGGCCGAACCAACTGCTGTTGTTGATGGCAACTAAAGAGAATGGCGGAGTGGTCAAAAAATGTGGAAGGGGGACGGAAAGGGGGCAAAAACGGTGTGTGCAAGTGGTGGCCCAAAAGAGGGGGTTACAGTGACGAAAAGGGGGGGGCTTGATGATGATACGATCCCATGGTCGCATCCATGATGCAGGTTGCATAACGAAGCCAGAGTAATTCGTGCCATAAGAACTGCAGTGGTAATTGATTGATGTGCCTACTGGTCGAGGGCTTAAAGTGTTATCGTTTGCAGACGATGATTATTTATCGAAAGGATAAGGCACTTGTAGTGCCTATCGAAATATACACTGATGGCAAATGCTAACTTTTCGGTAATATTGTCATCTTCAATGTTTAAAGTTCAGGCACTAAATTATCACTACACTATATAATTTCGATAAATAATTTCAAGTTCAATAAACTTACATTTACTTTTAAAGTTCAAAGTAATTTTAAATATAAAAATACTTAATCCTAGTATTTATGTATATAAAATGGTTTGAGTGTAGGGAATATGGGAACTATTCTGATGGTCTTTTTTTATGAAAATTTTCCTTCCGTCTCTTTTTTTTTCTTAAGCTCAAAACCCAACTTTACATCGTTGTGTATTCAATTTCGCCTGTGATACAGATTTTCAGCTCAGACCTTTCAATTACCGAAACTAGTTCGATAAGACTTCGATTGCTGACTCTGTCGAGGATTTCTCAATTGGCATTTGTCAGCAGCAAAGGGTCCTGGCCAATTTTAAATATTGGTTTGTGGAGGACCCGAAACTTTTAAGCCCTAAACATCCATCTATGTGCAGGGAGACTTTTCCGCACCTTTTCTAGATTTTCCTTGGCTCTGTTGTAGCCAGTTGTCGGCTTTCCCAGCAAAAATGCCGTGTGCGTGCGTAATTTCGTAGGGCAAAAAAAAGGCCAAAAAAAAAAGGAAACAAAAAAACAGACAAAAAAGCAAGCCGAAAGTCAAATATTGATAGAGCAAAACAACAAACGAAGCTATTTGCTTAGCCAGAATGGTCGAGACATCTAGGGGTTTTATAGCATACACACCCACATACACACACATATATATATGTATATATATATATATATGTACATACAAATGTATATGCAAGGATACATCGACACGACTTTCCACTTGTGAAAATGCTATAAAATAAAATTTGCAAAAATTTTCTGCTGATCTTGGCAGTTTATGTCAATGCCAAAAGGCCAGAAAGCAAATATATAGAACCAGAAAAAGCCCCGCCCATCATTACTACCCCCTGCCACTGCAAATGTGCATAAAAATGGTATGTGGAAAGGGGACTTTGGGCTTGCAATTGCGTTAGTCAGCAGACTGCCGGAACATTTGTATTAACATGACATCCTGGCACCACCCTCCACAATTCACCCAATTCACCCAAAACACCCACACGCCTTGTCCTTGTCCTTGCTTGTTATTATTATTATTATTATTGTTTTTGTGGGTTGTGTGTTTGTTTTTTGGCCCGGGAAAAGAGGGGCAGCAGGTCTTCATTGTTCTTGGTTGGGCAGCCCGAACAATATGATTATGATTATTGGTCCGTAGGACTAAGCCACTCGAGTACTTGAATGCAGTGCCATGGACCATGCCCCGATACCCTCGAATATACTTGGGTTCTCCAAAAAATGCTCGACTATTCGAGGGGCTTAAAATATAACTAGATTCCTCTATTTTTTATTTATTTTACTTGACAAAATATTCAGGTCTTTCAACTCCCAAATAAAATATAACTTACAATATACCATAGAAGTGGACTTTTCCATTAATACCTTTAAGACTATTTTTTCACTCTCTTTTTAAACTGTTAAAAATAAAAAAAAATCTAGTTTTATGCATTTTATTTATTGGCTTAACCAAGATTTTTTAAATATTTTAAATGCAGCACAATTGCTTATTTATTTATTTATTATCGAAGGCCGTAAAGTTTAGTTTACCAAGGATATTAGAAAAATTACAGGATTAATACTAAAAGAATATCAGAGGATATCAACTCGATGAGCACTTTAAAGCCGTCGCAGTATCCACGTTCTTGGCGTGAGCTCTATGATTGTCTAGGGCATAAATGCGAATTTATGGGCAGCCTGCTCCTTTCGCTCCTTTTGCCCCATCCACTCCTCCAGATTCCTACTGCTGTCGCTGGCACAATAAATAGGACTCCGGATCGGGATCGGCCAATCCCCTGGACGGCAATAAGACAAGTAATTTAGTTGCAAAATAATTTTAAATTTCATTTTCCATTTTCACACAGCGAGAGAGTGAGACTCGGAGGAAACGGAGCTCCATTTCCACATTCACTATCATCAATTGCGCATCTTTGGGGCCCGGCGATTCCGTTTTATGCTCCGCCATTTTGTGTTATGTGTGGGCATAACCGAAGGACCATCGATATATAAATGGGCCTCAATGAACGTGCGATGGGCTTAGCCCAAGTCCAAGGCAGTTTAGGTCTAGTTGTTTATGGCTAGAGTGTGTGTTTAAGCTGTGACCGGGTAATTGTATTTACTTGCCCACTCGCACGCATATTCGATAAATAATTCACTTGCCTATCGGCTTAGTCGCCCATCCCCAGTCACACCCATTACCGCTTTCAGCGATTTATTTGCATAATCGATAAATACCTATCGGAACGGAATTAAATGGCGAGCATTGAAAGCAAATTGAACATAGTAAGTGAGCTGAATTGTAATAGTGCTTTCAATATATTCAAAGATTTTTAAAGTTGATTATTAAAATAGGTACAACGTTTTAGCAAGGAGTTACGTAGTTTATTGACTTATTATTCCAATTACATTCCTCCAAAAAAATTGTTAACGATAAATATTTGATCGACCTTTCGATAGATTTTCAATAGCTAAAAAATACACATAACTAAATTTAGATAAATATGAAGGTTTTAAGCTTAATAAAAGAAAAATACTTTATTTAAATAATTCAGAAGTAAATACCGAACGTAGATTCAAATTAATAAATCGATAAATTGGATTAAAACTAAATGGAGCCTCTTAGTATTTATAGGTCTTATAGATGGTTCAAAGTGTCTAGGTTTTTATCTCAGTATCCTCATGTGTTTGAGTCTTCGTTTGACTCCTCAATATTGAAATCCTTCAATATCTTTCAATAAAATATGTAGATGCCCTCATCCACACCCTCGGCCCCTCGCCCCTCGCTATCGTTGAGTACCCTGATATCCCGGCAAATTGACAGCGCGGCAGCTGAGTTTTACAGCCCCCTCGAGTCGGGTCAATGGCAATATTATTAGCCATGGGTGTGGGGCAGGCGGATTTACTGGGGTGTTTTCCTAAAGGGGGGAGGGGGTGGCAGTAGCACAGTGGTGCAAATAAATCAGCAAAATTCTGCCGAAAATCTTGCCCTAGATTGATTTATGCCCCCTTACACACACACACACACACACACACATCGATGGCCCACTGTGCGGGGACGGTGGGTACAGAAAGGATATATCAGTGCGGTGGGGGGTTTGAGGCAGTGAATGTGTTGTATTTTCGAAGGATGCTGAGCTGTCGTCTACTTTGTGACACATTGACATTTTGGCCATGTGCCGAAGGAGGGGGCGATTTCATTTAAATTTGCTGTCAACGCAATTACATGGTTACCAAGGTCTCCGAAATCCGCTTCCTGTTTCAGTCACTGTTGCTGCTTTTAACTGAAGAACACCCCTTACACAGAAACCAAAAATTTGGCAATCACTTATACCAAAATATATTTCAGATATGGACATTATCCCTTTTAAAAATTTGTTTGGATTTTTTAACCATTATACACAAACAATTAAGGAATGTATTTTTTTTTTTTTAAGTTGTTGATATCTCTTACACCAAAAGCATAAAAAAAAAAACAGAAATAGTTTTTTACCCTCCCAATAAACCTATAATATATAATAACTATAATGAATAATAAGAGTATAAAGTATGATATTAAGTGAATGAGATTTATCAAAATGATTTAATAGATAATAAAATACATTTTTATTTATGGCTATGTAAAATTGTAGCGTATTATTTTTCTCTGTGCAACCACCATCAATTGAAGTCCTCCTTTTCAGGATGTCAGGAGCCGGAGGCACTTGAGCCCTGCCACATGTGATACCCCCATATTGATTCGATTCATTTGCTTCCTTCCAATCTCAAATGACTCACTTCCCACTGAGGCAGCATTTGTTCAATAAAAAAATAGAAGCTATATAAGCCACACCCACGAGTAAATAAAAAATAATATATCCGAAAACCGCCAACAGAGAAATACGAGAAAAAAAAAACAATAAAATTAAGAAATTTTCAAATTTATGCATGACACACCTGACGAAGATTGCCAATGTCTGTGTATGTTGTGTGTTGTCTGTGTGTGTGTGTGTGTGTGTGCCACGCCCACCTGCTCAATTGTTTCCCCGCCCCCGTGTTATTTTTTTTGCTGCACCTTCCTAAGGGAATTTCCGGCCTTAAGCTTGTTAAGCATTTTTATTGCCTCTGCCAGCTTAATTATTTTTGGTGCCCTTTACAACATGGGGAAAAATGGGGGCGAAAAAGGGAAAATGTTGAGAAAGAACAAGGGTCGGGGGTATACAGGGCTTATATGTGAAGTTACGGCTCATTTGGGTAATGTCAATAAGTCGGATCTCTCGGGGGAGTCGCGCAAATTGACTTTTGGCAAATTAATGTGGGAAAATAAAAAAAAAAACACAAAAAGGAAATTGTTAATGGACATTTTTTCACAGGAGGAAAATTGTATAAGTAGAGAATTTAAAGTAGGAAACAAGCGAGACTTATACAAATATTAATTAAAAGAAAAAAATTACATGCTGGTTTTACATGTAAACTACTTGTTGCTTCAATTGTTTATATCTCCTCTTTTTAAAAAGTAACCAGTGTAATAAGCACATAACCCAAATTCCACATAATACTACACGCCGGATTTCTTATTTTCTGAACATGAACTATAGAATTAAGATTTTGTGTAGTCTCAGAAACATGTAGAGGTTCCATGGCTTTATAAATACAATAAAAACTTCGGATCGAAGGACCAAAAATAACTTTTTAACGCTATACATGTCTAAATTGAATCTGCATTGATTTTTCTTATATTTTGTAAGTGTAAAAGTGACCAACGGATTAACCAATTATCTTTTTTAACCCATCAGGCTATGGGAACGTTGCACCGCGGACGACGCTCGGAAGGATCGTGACCCTGGCGTACGCCTTCTTTGGCATCCCATTGACCCTGGTCTATCTGAGCAGCACGGGCAGCATTTTGGCCCGGGTGGCCCGCGAGGTCTTCTCGAAGGCCCTGTGCTGCTGTCTTTGCTCGAATTGCGGCTACTGCTGTTACGACGAGAAGCGGATGGCCGAAAAGGAGCGCCGGATGCGACGGAAGAGACAGCAGGAGGAGTTGCGCAAACAGCAGGCCGTGATGCAGGAGCCGTATTACGTGAGGGATGTCTTTCATACCACACCCGAGAAGGACGCGGTGGGTGGTGGAGCTCCGCCACCAAATGCTGGCGGACCTGGAGGAGGATCTGCTGGTGGTGGAGGTTTGGCCGACATCGACTCGCTTAGTGCCAGCGAATCAAGGGGCTCCATGCATGGCCTCAGTATCCTGGCTCCCATTCTCCTCTGCTTCTCCATGATGATCATCTATATTGTTTTCGGCGCCGCCGTCTTGTATCGCTTGGAGAACTGGCCCATTCTGGATGGCATATACTTTTGCTTCATGAGCCTGTCCACGATTGGTTTTGGCGATATGTTGCCGGGATTGCGTAGGGAATCGAATGCCACCACCTGGTTTTGTTCGGTTTACATAATGTCGGGCATGACCCTAACGGCCATGTGCTTCAATGTCATCCACGAGGAGATTGTCCATCGGATTCGCATAGTGGTGGAGTTCAAGAAGTCGAGTGCTGCGAATTCCGGCGGCAGTGTGTCGGGTGGACCAGGTGGTGCCGGCGGGGCCGGTGGCTCGATGATGGATGTGGCGCACGAGGAGAGCGGTCAGTACTATGTGCCAGCATCTTGACACTACGAGAAGCGAGGGCATCTCTACCAGCGCAACCCCACCGAAGAGACCCTGGTGACAGGTGAGTTCCATCAAACTTTCAGTCCTTTAATCCGGATATGCTATTTTGATATTGTAAAATAGTATACATATAATATAGATACAATATCAATTCCATTATCTATCCTATAAAAGTAACAAGTCCGTCTTGTAAGGCCAAAACTGGAAATACTTGAGTATTAATCATGGTCCTTCGAGCCGGATTTGTAAAATATGAATAGCTATTAATAGTGAGCTCTCCCCATGGCAGACACACCCACATCGCTGGTACTGAAGGACTATGTTAACCACGAGCTGGTGCCCATCCTCACAATGGATCCGAATGGCGCCCGCCTGGCCCCCGCCCCCGCCTACACGCCCGCCCCCACATCAGCGGTAATTCCCGGTTCGGGGGAGGTGACCACGCCCGGAAATAGCTGCATCGCCCATGGCAGCGATCCGGGATTGGGCTACTCCTCGCTGAGCAGTCCGCTCCTCGACGTCCTGACCACGCCCACTGGGGCCAACGCCTCCGGGGTCTATACACTCGCCGAGGAAACGGAACTCGAACTCCAGGAGACACAGGTGGACAGGGAGCGCATCTGAAATAAAGAAAAGGCCAACGACGACAAGTATTCACTCGACGGATCAGTATTAGTTAGCGATTAGCCTTAGACATAGTCATAAAACCCTAGATCGAATCGGTATAGTGTGTAAAGTGTAATGAGTACTGTTTTTTTTGTTTTTTTTTTCCTGCCCCTCCAAGAATAGTGCGTGGGTGTATATGACCTAAGGATAATATGTGTGTATGTGAATGTGTAGGAGGGAGACTTTTCACCTCCAAAAAGAAAACAAAAACCAAACCGCGTCCCGTTGGACCAGCAAAAAGATCGTAGTCTAAGTCGAACTATCACTGTACATACTATATATTGCAGCCGCGGCGAAGATACATTTCCATAGCTCCTAAGCAGATCAACCGATTGTAAACAGTGACCCCAAAAAAAGATAACTAGTCAATGTAGTGAAAAACACAAACCCATGAATCCAAAATAAGAATAGCTGTCATACTTAAAGTGAACAGAGCAGCAAAAAGGAAGAAAAATAACCGATTTGGAGAGATGAGATGGTAATAGATGTTGAAGGACTTAAGTCTTTGGGGTTTTTAAACCTTTCGGCTGATTTCCTAGTTGTAATAAATTTTAGCATACTTTTAGTGATTTTGTATTCATCGAAATACTTTTTACCACAATAACTTAAGCTTAAAAGTCTATTTTTAATTGATGTGCAAAGTTATTAAAAGTATCAATAATTTTGTAACAGTTTTTGTATATATTTTTGAATTTGAATTGAATTTGAATATGCGTCCAAAACTTGCGGCTTAAAAACACTTTTGGAGTTCCACTGCCTGATTAGGAAAATACAACCTTAAATTTTGTTTATGTAAATTGTAATGCAAATTACATTTTTAGCAAAACGTTATCATTAAAAATGTAAGGTTATATATTCTTAGTCGGGGAATATTTATTTTTAATTCCCCTATTGCATTAATTCTGATCATCTCAACTCGAAATTGCACCTTCTTAATGTTCCAATAAATAGAAAATTTTCCCCCTTTTTTATGTGTGTAAGCAGGAAGATCGAGAAAGCAACTACATAATCCGCAATACCCATACCTAATTACGACACATTTTATACGTAAACCAAGCTTAGTAACATTACAAAATATGTACTTAATACGACATAAATATGCTACACTTAATATATACATATATATAAAATTAAATTTAGGTAATTGTTTTTTTTTGTATTTGTAATAAGCATAAAAGGGATGAGAGGTAACTTAAACTATGCATACATATTATCAATGAATTCGAATTCATAAATTTAAATAAATGTTTGAAACTAAAGGAGGAAACTACGAAACGAAAAGATAAAACACAAAACTTAAGTAACTTTGTAAATGTTGAGATATACCCGATTGTATATTAATGACAAGTGCAGCGGTGAAATAAAATCAATAAAATCATAAATGAGTAAAGACGTTAAGGGCCATCGTTTTTAACTTGGGCAATGTTTGAATTTTGGCGCCACTCTTAACATTAACTTTTAAGCACAACAGCGTGCTGTAAAGCGCAGAATTGGTTTTACATGAGCGTTTGTGCTGTTACACTGAGCGTAAAGCGCAAAGTAATGATTTATTAAATAATTGTAATTTCATCATGACTTATGCTCTAGATATTTTACTTTGTATCTGACTTTCGTGTTTAGTTAGTCTACTTTTTTTGTTCAGTATTATTATTAAAAGATTTTCTAATAATTGCATTTTAAAACAAATAAAAACAAATATATTTAAAGGTAAATAGTAATATTTTTGTTTTTAATATTTGCTGAATTTTTTCTTAACTTTTTAACACCAGACTTTTATGTGTAATAACATTAACATTTTCTGCTCGGAACACTTCTCGGTTAGCAGTATGTTAAGCTTTGCGCCATTTTGCATTAACCGTTAGGATTTTTTAAGCGTGGTTTTATTTTGTTTTAGTTAAGTGTCATATTGTTTTAAAATAATGGATTGGTCGCTCATCATAACAATTCTGATAAACACTCTTTATGTTTCTGCGCTCGACGACGACTGTCCAACGTTGGCAGACGGCGACAGTTTGTCGCAAACCCAATTACTGGATAGATTGACCCACGGATGTCGATATGATAGACTGGAACGACCCATAACCTATTCGGAAACTGGACAAAGATTGCCCGTGGACGTCTATATGCGTGCATATATATATTTTATGCAGAATCTGGAGGCCCACGATCTGCAGTTCAAGATATACGCCCTGCTCCAAATGCGTTATCTTGATCCGCGTCTAAATTTCCGGAACGTAAGTCCCAAACGGAGACAGCCCATTCTGGGTGAGCAGCACATGAGGGACTCCCTATGGATGCCCCACATTTTTCTGGCCAACGAGCGGGATTCCAGTATATTGGGTAAGTAAATCTTTGAAATCTTTGCAATATATATACAGTGGCAAAAAAAGTTTGTATCAAAAATATATATTTATTTATTTATATATATATATTAGATTATAGACTATCTACCAAACATAACTCAAATGTATACAAACTATACCTTAATACCTTGACTTTCTTACAAAGCCTTTGTATTATGCTCAATAGTACATAAAGTTTAATTGTTTAAACTTTAAAAACGTTCAGATAAGTTTGAGCTATCAATTGCATAATATACTATCGTATCCATGTTTTTCGGTTTCTTTTTTTAATTGTTAAAATACAGATTTAATCTTTAAAATCTATTTAAAGTTTTTATTTATATTATGTTGTGGTTTAGTTTTGATAATACATACAAAGTTATGTGTTTCAGTTTAAATTCATAAGAGTTTTTCAAATTTTTAAAATATAAAAAAATTCCCAATTTGAAAAATATATCTTCGAACACTTTCCGATATTATAGTTAAACGATCAGAGCTTTTTTTTAAGGGAAAGAAATTATTACAAGTATCGTATTACAATCAGGTTGGTGACCCTTAAAAAATCTCCATTTAACCGAAATTTCAACCTTAAATATCGAATTAAAACTGATTAGTCCCCCATTACTTTGCAGGTCTCACGGAGAAGGATATCCTTACCTCGATTTCCCCCGACGGCACAGTGATCGTCTCGAACAGGATAAAGGCAACGCTCTATTGTTGGCTCAATTTGAAGAAATTTCCCTTCGACGAACAGCATTGCTCGACGATCCTGGAGAGTTGGATGTACAACACCTCGGAGCTGGTGCTGCACTGGGAACAGAAGCGTCCAATCACGTACGACGGTGCACTGCATCTTACCGAGTTCGTGCTGCAGCGATCCTGGTCCAACGAGACGGTCATCAATGCCGATTTGAGTGACTTACGCCATGGAGCCTTTGCCGGGAACTACAGCTCCCTCAGCTTCACCGTGCATTTGACTCGCGTGGTGGGCTTCTATCTGATGGACTACTTCCTGCCCTCCATGCTGATAGTGGCCATATCGTGGGTATCCTTTTGGCTGCAGGCGGACCAGGCACCGCCAAGGATTACCCTCGGTACCAGTACCCTGCTGACCTTTATAACCCTTGCCTCGGCACAGGGCAAAACCCTGCCGAAGGTTAGCTACATTAAGGTATCGGAGGTATGGTTCCTCGGCTGCACCATCTTCATATTCGGCAGCATGGTGGAGTTTGCCTTCGTCAACACCATTTGGCGTCGCAAGAACAGTGTGCCCGTCAAGAAACTGAATAGCAAACACATCCTTAAGTCCACCCTATCGCCCAATCTGCTGAGGCGACGTAGTCATGCCAGATCGCGTTCGTTTTCCGGAACTGCTCTGCAAAAATCCATAGATACCAGCTCGCTATCTGGTGCTGGATTCAATAACTATCTCACTGTCAATCTGCCCATTACCACGATCAAGGAGGGTCAAGTTCTGGACCAGCGAACTAGAGGACCTAGGGGCATTCAGAAACTGGATGTCAACTTTGTGGAGAGTGCCTTTGGAGCCGGATCGGGATCGGGATCGGGATTGGGATTGGGATCGGGATCGGGATCCATGGGAGCAGCACAATCCAGTGGAGCCATCAATTCGGCAGGCAGTTCGCAGACCTTGAACAACAATATAGCGGATGGCGCTACTCACCAAGAGGAAATCGACCTGAGTGGCTGGACCACGCTGACGCCCCAGGAAATCGCCATGTGGATCGACAGCCGCGCCAGATTCGTTTTCCCACTCGCCTTTCTCGTCTTCAACTTGTTCTTCTGGACTTTTGTCTACTGTATTTAAACATAAAAGGTTCATATGTATTTGTACTTCCAAAATTAACTATATGAATCGCCCTATTTTGGAATGTTATAAATGTAATTACTTTCTTAACAGATAAGGTTTTCATTTTTGTTTCATTTTAAATTGCTCAATTCTAAATCGGAAATCGAATTATTTTGTTTGAGATTTAATTTATGTACATATTTATTAATCCCTAACTTCCAAATTTATCAATTTAAAAGGGGCAAAAAATATTTTTAACCACGCTTTACCTAAGAAAGGTTATTAGATGTCAACGTTATGTATTTATGTTTCTAAATGATTTTTCTACTTTGTTTTAATTTAAATAAATGTTCTGTAAAAATATGTTTTTTTTAATAATTGTGTAAATTGGATATAAGATAAATATGAAAATATAAAGGCTTTTTAATGTCAACGTTTTGCATTTATGTTTCTGTATGATTTTCCAATAATTTAACTTTTTTATTAAACCAGCTGTAGACAATTGCACTTTTTTAAATTAGAAAACGGTACCAGCTAACGATGAATGAAAAAAAAACTTATTAACAAAATTAGCAAGGTAAATAAAATATAAAAACAATATTTTGCTCTACATTATTATTATTGTTTATATGTATGTTTGTTTTAAGATTATTATTTGGATTTTAAGATTAGGTTTCCGATAGATTGCAATAAGGGACCTGTATTTAATTTTCCAAAAAGCTGTATTGAATTTAATGATTTTAACGTTGTTAATTTTTTTCGCCCATTTCAATGTTAAATATTATAGGAATATGAACTTCAGTGCACATAATTTCGCAAACCAAGTCGGCATTTTTCACAGTGAATTGATTAAAGCTCGTTTTGGTTGGGAATGCTATCGTTAGTGGAGTTATTAACCATGTTTGTAAATATATTCTTTTTCCGCTGTTAGCAGAGACACAATTATCGATATGTGGTGGATACAAAATTAGAGGTGGATAAACATCGATGACTTCCTACTAACCACCCATATTAGCAATGTTAAAAAAAATCGATGCTATCATTAATATTTCTCACCTTTAGAAAAGAGCGCAAAAGAAAAATTTAACGTGATAAAAGTGATAAATTAAAAGAGTGTTAAGAGAGTGATAAAAAGACGATAAAAGGGCGATAAAGGTAAACCTTAAAAGTGTTTATTTCATAATTTAAGAAAACATTAAACAGATGACAACAAGTTGTTGCGCGTACCTGTGTGTGTGTGTGTGTGTTTGTGTGAGGACAAATGTACTTGTGTATGTGGCTGTTTTTTCGTTTTGTTTTTCGTTGCTGACCTTCATTAAAGATAACTGAAATGTTGAACCTTGCCAATGTCAGAAACTCCAAGAAAAAACTCAAACAATTGTGCGGAAATGCTTCAAAAATATATACAATATGTACATTGTTCTGTTTTCTTGCATTTATTGCGCGCGCTTTCTCTGCAAAATCTATTACTTAACTGCCGCTCTTCTCTCTTTTTCTTTCTCTCTCTTTCAAAAAAAATCCATATATTTTACTTTCTTTTTTCCCGGCTTTTTGTTGTTTTTGTCTTTGCTATTACGCTTTGTGAATGTGTGTTTTTGTACCGTTATATGTTCGCACCTGTTTTGCACATTCTTATTAGAATTCCAATCAGAGTCTTTCACTTTCCGTGAAAAAACAAAAACAAGGCCAGCTGCTATTTAAATGCTATATTTATTGTTCCTATCTCTGATAGGTTCTCCATCTAATTTGTTCTGTTTTCATGCTCAATTTCGCACAAGTACAGTTTGTTATTTTCGCAAGAAGAAGAGTCAAGCGTCGCTTACACACAAGCGCAATTACAATTTACATATACATACATACACACATATCTAAGGATTGCAATTTGTTTTGATTACAAAAACAACAGCAACAAGCGACCTAGTTTATTTTTGGGCTTTTTTATATTACTTTATTTCGGCACGTAGACCGCTTCACGCACACACTCGTGCGTAAGTATGTATATTGACATGTAAAACATGTTGTTTTTGCCCCTTGTTCGGCTTTTTTTTGGCCACTTTCGCCGCTTGAAGAAGAGGAAGAGAATGCAAACCAAAACAACAAAAACAATAAAAACAATGAATATTTACAGTGTTGTAAAGCAGATGGTTGTAAGATAGGGTTGCCACCTCTCCTCCGTGTGTGTGTTTGGTCACGTATTACAAAAAATAAAAACGATGGGGAGGAAATGTGGTTGCTGCAATAAAAACGCTATAAATAGCGCATAAAAAGGCCACAACAGCTGCATTGCACGTTTTCAGCTTTATCTTTATCAGTCTCGCTGCGTTGCAAACAAAGAATATCAACAAAAGACGTTGAATATAAGCATATTTCTTAATTTGCATTCTTTTGTTGTTATTCTCAGGTGGCAACCCTGCTGTTACCAGTGGCGGGTGTGATGAACATTTACGGGGCGCTGTAATATTATATTATTATTATATGTCTTCAGCTATTAAAATTAAATTCAAATAATGAATTGGAATTTGTACAATTGCCTTACATTTGCAAGGTTATAGAAGTTACCATTTTACCATTACCATTTTTCCTTTAAATAGTTCATTATGCATTTAAATTGACTTAAAACCTTTTTTCCGGCCCCCTTTTAGATCCGTCTCTGTTTGTAACGTCCTATTTTTTGTTTTTTTTTTTCACAACAACCGGAATTTTTCGCTGTTGCTTTTGCTGCGCGCATTCTCACGTACACACACATGTACGCACCGTGCGTGCGAGCAAGATGGCATGCTCAGCTGCTCGCGTTATCGCTGCATTCGCTTTGTTCACCGTTTTCGTACATGCGTCGATTTTCGTCAGTTTTTTTTTTCGATTCAATTCGCCTTTGTGTTTCTCGCGTGCAGACGCGATTCGTCTTTCTCCCCCGCTTTTCCTTAAATTTAAACAAAATAAAGTGCTTAACTAAGTCTAAACAACAGTGTGTGTGTTTATAAGGTAAATGCTAATGACTTCGTGGCAAAAACATGCTAATAATAGAAGAGGCGACTAAATTAGCCGCATTTTCACTTTATCTCAAAAAAATTGAGTGAATTTCGAGACAACTAATACATACGCAAAATACAGCCGGTGCATAAAATACACATATGTGTATGTACACATACAATCGTAATAAAAACTGGAAAAATCAGTGTCCCCAAAAAAAAAACAACAAATTAAATAAAGAAACGACAACACCAACGCACCTGGAAGAAGAAGAAGTGGTTGAAATAGCCGCTCTCATTTTCTCCTTGTTGCGAATGAGAAAGGGAGAGGGGCATTAACACAAGTACCAATACAAATGTAGCAAAAAAAACGCGCTTTTAATGTATTTGTTTCTTTTTGCGCTTTGTTTATAAAATTCCCCCCCCAAAAAGAACAACAAAATGTTGCATTTATCCACACACAGGCAACAGAAATAAAATTGTGCATATATTTGTGAGGCACGCGCGTGGCCTAACTATCTATCCCGCTCGCACACCCCCCATTGATCCCCCGTTTATATTGTTGTTGGTTTTTTTTTGGAACTGCCTTTAAAACATGTTTGCTAAATTTAATTACACCACTTGCTATTGATAAGATATTTTATGTGGTTGATGCCAACAATTTAAAATGGTTTTTTGTTTTGCGGTTTTTCGATAGCATTATTATCTCAAATTATCAGCTGTCAGTAAAACGTAATCGCTAATCAACACTACTTACGAAACAGCTGTTTAAACTCTATACCTATTTTATTTAAATTTTAAGATGCTGTAGTTAACATAAAACTACGTATGTATCTCATAAACTTCAAGCTTTATTTAGGTAACTAATTTGTTCTCATTTTTATTTATTTTTTAGCACAAATGCAGTTAACTACAGTGAAGCCCGGGCAATGGATGTTGGCAATGTACGCGCTCAGAACAACGAAAACGAACAGAATGTCCGCGCACAAATAACACTAACACAACTACAGTAAACACTGCCGCAGCACACACCAAACACAAACACTAAAAAACAAAACAAAAAGCAAGTCTCTTCACTCAAAACGGTTAAAAATCCATTTAAAAATCAAACAAACAGAGCACAAAACATCGAAAAGTCTCCGTAGAACTTGTGCAGTATCCACTAGAAATCCAATAACCCGAATAAAATAAACCATAATGTTTAACTTCCATAAACCGCGCGTTTATCGGTCCGCCGATGGTTGCTGTATTTGCCGGGCTAAATCGAGCAGTTCCCGATTCACGGCCTCCCGGAAATACGAAAAGGAGTCGATGCAGTGCTTCAATCTCCACGAGCCGCGAAACGGCGAGATCTGCAACGCCTGCGTCCTTTTGGTCAAGCGGTACAAGCGACTTCCCGTCGGCAGCAAGCGCCACTGGGGTCATGTGAGTATTGTTGCGGGGATCATAGGATAATGCCCAGTATCCCAGGGGATTTCGGTTTTGGTAGGACTCTTCGTTAGCCCAGTTAATTTTTATATCAGTATCCTTGGGATGAAGATAAGTGCTTAGTAATTCTAAGAACTTCGGTTATAGAGAACTAAAACCTCTAAATCATTTCATCATAAACTCATCATAATAATTTCGATTTCTTTTGAAATACTAAATAAAAGAGAAAGTTTAAGTTAAGTTTTGTTATGAAATAAAAAGTAGCATGTTAGGACCACAACAGACCTTCTTCCCTCGAAACAAAGTCTTTCCTCAACTAATCATCCTACTCTTCGCATTTTCCAGGTGGTGGATGCCCGTGCTGGACCCGGAACCAAATCCCTGGCCAAACAGAAAAAGCGCGACAACGCAGAGGCGGAGGCCAAGGCCAATGGCAACTCATCATTCCTGCCCGAGAAGTTTGCCAAGATCTTTAAGAAGAATCGCAAGGGCAAGATAACAGCAGCGACGGCGTTGACGGCGACTTCTCAAACTGTAGCATCTCCATTAGTTTCCGGTGCTATCAATCGTCCAAGCAGCACTTCACCTACCTCCGACCATCAACCTAGCGATTCCAACGAAAGCTTTGACGACGAACAGCAGATGCCAGGATCAGGGTCAGGATCCGGATCCTTTGGAGCAACTGGGGCTCCGTATCAAACGCGCAAGCGGACTGCGGCCGCTGCTCTCGCTATTTCCGGCACCTTGGCGGAGGTCAGCAAAAGACCCAAACTGACCGGAAGTAAGCGACGCCGCCAATTGCCACCGCAAAAGCATCGACGAGCCATCGACAATGTGCCCTTTTTCGAGGACAGCGATCTCGTACGCCTGGAGGTCTGTTGCGGCGTGGTCTTCCAGAGTTTATCCCTCGGCAGTTGTTGCTACATCATAGATCCGGAGCTGTACAAACCCTGCGAGAAGCACCAACGTCTGCGGCACCAGCAGCTTCAGCTCCAGCAGCAGCAGCATCAACAGAATCATCATCAGGATCAGCAAATGGAGACCATCAGCAGACCCAACTCCATACCACCGCCAGCGACACAAGTTCAAGGCCAGGGACCAAAGATGGGCCCACTCAAGAAGCACCATTTATTCTTCAAACGACAATCGGAGTCATTTCCGCAGGGCGATATCCATAGAATAAGTCCAATTCCATTGAGCAAGACTGAAACGAATAGCCAGCAGCAGCAGCAGCAACAGCAGCCACATTCCAATCTGTCGCTGATCCTCAAGTCAAATGCCACTGTCCAATCACAGTCGCAAGTGGTATCCGTTGGCGCCGCATCACCTTCGTCGCTGTCCTCCTCCTCCAACTGCTCCACCTCCTCCTCGGTGGCCACCAAGTTCAACGACAACTCATCCGATTCGGGATTCGATGAGCATGTGCTGGAGCGCAAGTCTGTTAGTCCACCAACGGTAGGTTTTCGCTTGCAATCTAAAAGGCATTTACAACAATTGTGATTTCGTTTATTCAGCAAGATGAGTGGAAACTGCGTGGAGCAACAACGGGTGGCATGCAATTGATCCTGGCCAGCGGTCTGCCACTGGCTGGTCAACCCCAAAATCTCGTGCTGGCGGGGAACGAGTTTACCGCACGGATTGTACAACAGCGAGAATCTGGTGCTAATGCTGGTGGTGGTGGTGGTGGTGGTGGAGGAGCTCCTCTCAAAATCAATGTGCTAGGTGGATCTCAGGGAAATAGCAGTAAATTGCGTGCAATATTCAATAGCGCCAATAGCATTCAGCATGAGAACGGAGTGACCACCATTTTGCCAGCATCCTCGCTGGCGGCGAGCAATCAAACGGCTGCCATGAATGCAATTGCGCCCAGCACGGTGACCATAACGCCAGCAACAACTGTGGTGGGCAAAAAGGTGACGGCGGTGCCAAATCCCAAATTTATACTGATAAAGCCCGCCAAATTTGTTGCCCAAACGGCAACGTCGATGATGACAACGACAACGACGACGGAGCCACCTGCTCCACCTCCTCCTCCTCCAGAAGCCAAAATCGTATAAGCGAAACGAAAACGAAAGAGAGAGAGATGGAGATGGAGAGATAGATAGATAGGAGATGCCAAGCGTCTGGCAGGGATTCCCCCGACCCTGTTACAATTGTTATAGATCCAAGCTCCCTTTTACTCCCTTTTTTTTTTTGTATGCATCATTTTTTTATCTCAACGTTTATATTTAATCTAAGATGTGCCCCAAAGCAGTGCATAATGTACATATATTATACAATCAACGCAATTTATTTGTATCCATCTACCCCCCCACCCTCTACAAACATTGTTTTGTAGGATACTCAGCCGAAGCAGCAGCTCCCCCATATCATTTTTAAGCATAATATTTAACATTTCGCGAAATGCACCTTTATATCCTAGACGTTAGTTTATGTACATACGATTTAAGCCAGCCTAATGACTTGTTTTTGTCTAGTTGCCCAACTTAGTCATCGTCTGCGCAATCCTTACGTTACCATGTTGAGCGGAATGAAACGGATTGAACACGAAACAGAGAGCATTTTTAAAAGCGATTTACCGCATTAGTTGGACGTGTAGTAGTTCAGTGCCCTAGTAGTCTGTAGTTGAACACAAAGTTCGCCCCCCTTTTATTTCCCCCCCGCCAGCAAGGGGGAAAGAGCGAATAAAACCACTCAAACACACAGAAACATACAAATTGTAGCCTTAGGAATGCCTAAACAAAGTAAAAAAAAAAAAACAACAACCGTAGTGTGTTACAAGATAATGTTTTTTAAACCTTAATACAAATAAAATAATTGAAAATCAACTAAAAGGTCTTCTTACTTTGGGTATTTTAATTCAGATTTGTACAAAATAATATTGTATTAAAAATCCTCGTTTAAATATGATTTATATTTTATTGATATTAATTTGTGTTCTTACAACGATAAAAAATTCGGAATTATGTTATACAAATACTAAAACATTTCTCATGGTCTTTTGTGCTTCGATGGCAAAGCATCTGTAAAAATCACACTATATACAAACGCTAATGTATTTGGCAATTGAATTGTGCATATGGAGATTTTGTTGTACGAGCGACCTACAAGCTGTAGTAGAACTCCTGGGCGTCCAGATACAGGGCGATGCCCACCCAGACGAGGGTGTTCCACGTGGCCTCCAGCAGGAGCATGAAGTGCGTGTTCATCTCCCCGATCCTCCAGTGCCAGGGTAGCATCTTGTGCATCACCGTATGTCCCACATACATCACGATGGCATTCATGCCACATTCGGTGAAGGGATGGCCCGACCAGCTCCACGATTCCCGCACATCGATGACGTAGTAGAGCAGCGACAGGATAACCAGAGCCATGCTCACGGTGACGCAGACGAAGGACAACGACCAGAGGTTCTTGTTCACGGGTATGGCGCCACCTTCACGCGAAAATCCACACAAAGCGCCGCCAATGAGGCCCAAAACGACGCTGAGGATTAGCCAGCGACGGATCCTCGATTGCCAGGTGGGATGCACCAGCAGCGTTACGCCCGCAAAGGCGCCAAGGAGCACCTGCACCACACTCAGAATGCAGCCTGCAAATTGGCAAAATAACAGCTTAATCAAGAAGTGTTTTTCTCAGGTTGTAAACGATGCAGCGGCAAACCAAAATAAAATGTTTGCTATCTTTACTATCTTAAATAATCGCGCGCTGAATGTTAAAATCATTGCAATAAATAACGCGAATTCTTCAGCATAAAATGGTATTTTTTTAGAATTTTCTTTAAGGCAAATAGCAAAGCTACTTGGCTGCATCGTTTACAACCAACTTGTGAGAGCCCTTCAACTAACCGAAAATTCCCTCCGGATCGAAGGCAGTGGAGTCGTAGACGTATTTCGCAGTGGGATGCTGATAGATGTGCGCATTGCCCAGCACCCGAAGATCCACATAGCCAGCTGCACCACCAATACACTTCGGATGGGCCACATAGTCGTGTTTGCCACCCGGTCCCAGATAGCCACGCGGACATCCCGGCACCCGCAGGCCAAAGGTTAGCCCCAAATAGGTGGCCACCAGGGCCAGCAAAACGGCCAGCTCGCCACTGAAGAGACACACATCGTGGACGGCCCGCTGCCACGAACTCTGTGGACTTATGGGCTCCCGGCGGCTGCACAGCGTGTGGAGTACACCCACAACCAGAAAGGCCACTCCGAATCGCTGCAGGACGCCCATGAGACGCAGTTGCTCCAGATTCGGGCCACTCATCGAGTTGAGACACAGTCCGATGGCAAAGAGTTTCATCGATCGCCACACGATTCGCAGGCAGATCCTGGCCTTGCTGCTTCCACGAGACAGTTGTGATTTCACCGACAGCGGAATGCACACGCCCATGATCCAGAGGAACGAGGGAAACACCACGTCGGCCAGGTGCAATCCGTTCCATGCCGCGTGCTCGATCCAGGCGAATCCGCCGCCGCCACTGTTCACGAAGATCATCAGCACGATGGAGAGGCTGTGGAGGAATGGAGATCACTGATCAATAGGGTAAACAGATTCCACTTTAATATTATTTCATTATAAATTACAAATAAAATATATATATATTATATATTTAATAATGTCTGCATATATCTAAAGCCAAAACCGAAATAAGATAAAATAACAATTATTTTCTTCTTTTAATCATTTTAAGTTGAAAGCTCTATATTTAAGAATTTGTAACTTTTTAATGGATAGTGATCTGGTTTGATCGCTGTCTTTAAAAAAGATATGTCCTAGGGATAAAATAGAGTACTATATCCAATTAAAAGATCTTTAAGTTTAATATTTAATGGTGTATTTTTTAATCCTATAAAATGGATCTGTCGAATTGAATAAACTTAGTTATATCTTTGGTTACAAGATATTTTGTATTTTTCCATTTTATTTTATCTATAACTATTATAGATCATATAGAAAATGTTTGTCAAATTAAGAACTTTCAGTGATATCAGGAGCCATTGAATTTACTCTATTTATAAATATACATAAATCACATGGAATATATATATATATATTCGTACAATATCTCCTGTTACCATCCTACTCTATTTATAACTCTTTTTTTTTTAATATATATGCATCACATCACATACAAAATATGTGTTAAGAGGGGTATGTAATCAAGTTAATCAGACAATTAGTGCTCTAGTAACATAAGTTTGTAGTGGATCCCATTGGGGATCGTTTAGAGCCTTTAGTTACCCTCGGAAGGTGTCCAGACTCCTGAGGCGCTTCCTTTGGGTGGCCTTGGTGGCGGCTGCTCCGATACTATCGGCTGCGGCGGTGGCCTCATCGTAGCGATAGCATCGCCAGGCGCAACTCACGAGCTTCAATGTGATTAACAGGGCGGCAACCAAAACGAATACGGCCAGGAATGCTGCGGATAAGGGTATATTATGCCGATAAGTAATATGTTTATATCTGAAGTGGCACAATCAAGTGCTATGTGGCACTTGCGGATTACGGATAACGAACCAGTGGGGACTAATAGAGAAGCACTCACCATAATTAATGGGCACACCGGCCTTGTCCACCGCGAAAGTACAGGTCCCGTTCGCTTGGAGGGTCAGGTTGTAGACGCCGAATTCCTGCAGATCGGTGCGACGTAGCCAACAAAGTGACGTACTGCGGGGAAATCGATTAAACTTGAAAACTTGCAAAGAACAGGTGTACTTGCAAATTGGCATGCATAGTTAAGTAGTTTCGCTTAAACTAGTTAACACACATACGCAAATCACATACTCGACAGTACTTTATGGCTATTCCGAACATGGTGAAGGCCTTAAAATGTATATTATTTACAAATTACGGTCGATAGGCTTTTGATTCAGAAGGAAATGGGGTTTTCTTTGATTTTAAAATCCAATTTTTCTATTTCATTTATGTTTTTCAGACCAAATTTCTATTTAATAATAATAATTTGTATTAGTTTTTCATTCTCGAATCATTCTTTCCCATGATAAATAATAATAAGTTTTTAGAGCAACAAACTGGTTTTCTAATTTAGGACTGGATATTATTTTATATTATTCCACTAAACACTCGACTATGTGATTTTATGTAAAATAATATTTGTACATGTTTTAAGCAAAAACTAGCCTTATCGAGTGCCTACTGTACAGTGATACTCACACATTGTCGTAGGCATAGTGGCCCTGATCATGTTCGTATATTTTAAAATTGAGCCCAAATGCCGAATTCAAACGTAACGGTTCAGCGACGTCGACTGCGACGCCGGCAGCGACGTCCGCAGCGGGCAGAGCTTTCACTTTGGAATACGGACACTAAAATAAAATACAAATAAAGCGATTAAATAAATCGAATCAAAAAGTAATTGGAAGTGAAACCGATTGCGTATCATTACTTAATATTGTTTATTATTATTTATTACCGTGTAGCACTCGTCGGAAAGTGAGTACAGGTAACTCTCTTTATGAAAACCCGATCGCAGGTACAGGTAAAACTCGTCGACGGACAACGCGCGCATATCCAAATTTCGCCATTTGGGCTCTGTATATTCCACAAATAGCGACATTTTTTGTTTATACAATTACAATTAGTACACTATTTTGCTGCCTTTATGCAGATTGTATGCAGTTTTGGCAATTTTCATTCACATTTGCAAATTAAGAACACACAAACACGACGAGCGAACAACTTAAACTAAACTAAAGTGCGCTGCATTTTGCACCATTTCAAGAGCTCTTTTAGTTTTTTTGATCTTGGCTAAATAACAAAACAATTTCGAGTGCGCAATAAAATAAAAACAAAATCGCAAGTGGAAATAACAATAACAACACAACAGAAGCAACAAAGAGCAGTGTTGAAAAACTAGCGAAGAAAAAGAGCTGCCAGATGTGATATGTTTTTAAAATTGTTTTATGTCAACTTTATATTTAATAAATATTAACAGATAATAAAAAATGTAAATATTATTAAACTTTTAATCACAAAATAATTTAAAACTAATAATTTATATGAAATTATTCCATAGCTAAAACATGGAAATCATATTAACAATAATGCTTGTTAATTTTTACTTATATTGGCAGTTTTAAGTGTGATTTCTATAATGCTTGAAGTACCACAACATTAAACTCTTGTTTTAATTACTTTTATATAAATGCTTCCATTTAAAGGTTAAAAATAGTTTGTTCAAAAATAAATATGCACGAAGATATTTTACCGAAAATTATTAGATTTTATTTTATTATTTAATTAATTGGGCTGCTAGGGTGAGTAGACATATGTGAACTGCAACAACTACAACAAAAACATATTTAAAGTAATCTATAAAACATTTCGAAATATTTTTTAAATGGCTTAAGCTTAAAGTTTGATAAATATGTTTAAACTTTTATATATTTTCCCAAATAATTAAACTAGTATTCTTGTGATTGGGTATAACCTTTCCATGTTTAGGATGGTTACTGTGGCTTGGTAACTGAAAACAATGTTTATAATGTAAGCACTACTGTACAATTTTTCCAATAAGAACTGCGCATGAACGTGCCAGCTATCTGGCAACGCCGCTCACGGTTAACCCTTTGTCTGCGCTCTCAACTGTTGCTTATAAACCCCAAATTCTCCAATTCATGATGGGGTATTAGTAAGAAGTAAATATAAGTTCAATAAATAAGTTGCTTATAAGGCTTTAAACCTTTTAAATAATTACTTTCCCAGTTTCAGCAGCGTGCAAAATTGGGGGCGTTGCACTTGGCGCGGTCCGGCAACGCCATCAGCTGATTCTGCAAAACAACCAAAAAAAATTGTTGCTGATGTTGTGTCGTGAGTTTTTGAAATTTCCACTGATTTGTGATCGCAAATCGGCGATTATCTTGGATTAGCTGAGATAATGGAGCGGGAAAGGGAGAGCCGCCTATGCGCCGTCACCTTCTTCGCGAAATTGCATCCCGGCGACGTTTGCGGCACAAATGGACTTCCTCTGACTCCCAATTCCATTGCGATCCTGGGAAGAGCCCAAAAACTCAAGGAACTCCAGGACGAACATCTTTGCCAGTATCTGGATGTGATTCGCGGCAAGCACGGTGGGTGGTGAGGCACCTTGAAGCCAACAAAACGGGGTGTAATGACCACACACACTAAGTACCATCCCAAACCATTTGAAACACCCACTAAATCCGAAATACTCCCAGTTCCCAACTATCTTCGATGTTGATCTAATGTTCACCACTTTTTCTATGGTATTACTATGTGCAAACTCTGCAAATGGATTTATCATCCTAAAAATCAATCATATCCCTATAATCTTCAGGATCGATCATTAAATAACAACAAAAATCATCTAAAACTACTTTAATGGGCATTCAACTTTCCAGATATATACATAACTTGCGAAATACTATTACAACCTAACTCCAAACTCTGTAAATGGATTTATCATCTTAAAAAACTATCATATCCTAGTTATATTAAAAATCGCCCTTTAAATTCACAAAGATAACTATCTAAAACATCCATAAATCCTACTTTAATGTATATTAAACTTTGCAGAAAATATAAAGAACTCCGAAATACTCAAATATCCCAACTATCCTTAAATATACTCACCAAATACCACCCATTAATTCTATAATAACTAAGCATTAAGTAGTCATTAAACTCCGCCGATAAATATATAACCCCAAAATCCCTAATAAATACGGATCATCTTCAAAAAAACAAACTAAAACAATTTTGAAATATGGATTTTTATAAAATTTAAACTATATAATAAGTGCTCCGATTTACACCAAACTGAATAGATAGACATTAATAAGCTAACAAAGAAATTTAATTTATTATCTGTTAAAACAATCAAAGCAAACCAAAGTCAAATGATATATAATATAGAAAACGAATAAGATATTAATACCGAAAATATGCTCCCCTTGTAGAACGCACCATTGTGGTGTCGGAGTATTTGGGACTGTCGCTGGAGGACTATGCCAAGCGTCATCCTCCGCTGGCCATCGCCCAGATCCTGAGGATCTTCTACCAGGTGGCCTGCGGCATTGGCGTGCTGAGCCAGCACCATCTGGTGGCCCACAATCTGGAGCCCAGGCACATCCTCATCTCCGGCGACGGCCAGCTGCGGGTGAAGCTCTTCAACTACGGACTGCACCACATGACCAAGGGCGGTGTCCATGTGCCCTTTCCCATTGGCAACCTACGCTACATGGCGCCGGAGCGACTGCTGGGCTTGAATGGCAACGTGAAGAGTGACATTTGGTCGCTGGCCCTGCTGATTGTCGAACTGATCTTCCAGATCGAACTCTGGCCCCGCCTGAAGCTCTCGAATGTGATTAGGAAAATCCTGGCCTTTGGCCGGACCAACGGTGTGCTGGAGAAGATTGCGCGGGAGCATGACTGCCACGAACGGTATGCGTCGATGGACACGAGTCTGCGACAGCTGCTGGAAAGCTGTCTGAGTGTCCTGCCCAAGCGGCGACCACTGCCCGGCGAGCTCTTGCGTCACCACATCTTCGAGGGCGTGCGTGTGGACATTTCGCGGCGGCAGGAGAAGATGCAACAGCCGAGCGAGGAAAGCGAGCATTTGCCGCTACTCCTGCGTTGCCCTTTGGCCCAGATCTATCACCTTTGGCAACTGGCCGGCGGCGATGTCCAGGCGGAGCTGAAGAAGGAGGGCCTCATCCGGAGTGAGGCTCCGATTTTGGGATTGCCGCAGATCGTGCGACTGAGTGGCGCCAGCGTTTGTCCGGGACGCAGTCAGGCGCAACTGATGGACGATCGCGTGGTACCGCTGCGTCTGAAGGCGCTGCTCCGGCGACTGAGTCGTTTGCCGGCCGGCGTCTACTTTCCGCTGCTCCATTCGCCGCGTTTTCCCGCCCATTTTGCCAGCGAACTGCAGGAATTGCCGCTGGTGATACGCGAAAGGGACATCGAGTATCAGTTCCAGCGGGTGCGGCTGTTCACGCGAATTCTTCAGGGCTATCCGCACACGGCCGAGCAGCTGCAGCGCGAGGCGGCCGTCGATGTGCCGCCGCTGCTGAGGGGCCCCATTTGGGCCGCCCTCCTGGAGGTGGTGCCCAATGGCAGTTACACGAAGATCGATAAGTTCACGGCCACCAGTACGGATCGACAGATCGAGGTGGACATACCGCGCTGCCATCAGTACGACGAGCTGCTCTCCTCCCCCGACGGACATCGCAAACTGAGGCGTCTGCTCAAGGCCTGGGTCACCGCCCATCCGCAGTACGTCTACTGGCAGGGATTGGACTCGCTAACGGCTCCGTTTCTCTTTCTCAACTTTAACAATGAAGGTGCGTTTAGCTATCATTTCTTTGTTTATTAGAATCTCAAGTCTTTAACGTTTTCCTTAGAGTTGGCCTTCCTCAGCCTGTTCAAGTTCATTCCAAAGTATCTGCAGTGGTTCTTCCTCAAGGACAACTCGGCGGTGATCAAGGAGTACCTGAGCAAGTTCTCCCAGCTGACCGCCTTCCATGAACCGCTTCTCGCTCAGCATTTGGCCAGCATTAGCTTTATACCCGAGCTCTTTGCCATCCCCTGGTTCCTAACCATGTTTTCGCGTGAGTTCTTTTGGTTGCATGGATAAGAGATGAATCTCTTAATCTACGATTTTTACATTTTGTGGTTCCTTTTTATAAGTGTAATATATGATTTCAACAAAAGTAAGAGTTATACGCTTTTCATAGTCCCAAAAATATATATAAGATATTTAACTTTTCAATATGGTATGTTTATCTATAGCTTAAACTTTTTAGCTATTTAATGTATTTTTATCAATTATTTAATCGCTGTTAAAATACATACTTACACGATTCAGTTTTCTCTACTAGAGAAACTATATAGTGCTTTTTGGTTTTTTTATTTTTAAATGCAAAAATTATTTTATTTATTTAATATTTAATTAATACATTATTCACAAAACTTTTAAAGTTTTAACTTGATTACCACAAACTTAGTCTAAATATTTTGAAAGGTACATAAATAAACATTTGTTTCATTGAATCTACAAATGTTTTAATTTAAATTTTATTCTATACAAGGTACCTAATTTGATTTGAAGTGAACAAGTTTTCCTTAGTTTTTAATTATATAAAAATGTATTTGGCAGATGTGTTCCCTCTGCACAAGATCCTGCATTTGTGGGACAAACTCATGCTGGGCGACAGCTCGTATCCGCTGTTCATCGGCATTGCGATACTGCGCCAGCTGAGGAGCACGCTGCTCACCTCCGGTTTCAACGAGTGCATCCTGCTCTTCTCCGATCTGCCGGACATTGTGATGGACGGCTGTGTGCTGGAGTCGCAGAAGATGTACGAGGCCACGCCCAAGAGTATTACTCACCGGCAGCATGCCCTGCGGATGCAACCGCCCCAGGCGCTGGTAAGTTTGCTATTAAATCCCTAATTGTTAAATGGACAATAACCGTAGCTACTTATCTCCCATAAGGACATTGGTGTGGCGGACGTGGAACTGAAGCATCTGCAGCAGGAGCAATGCCCGCGCATCAGCGCCAAGGATGTGCGATGGCTGCTGAACAACTCGCCGGCGGAGCTGGCCCTCATCGATCTGCGCAGTGTGGTGGAGTTTGGACGCGTCCATGTGCCGCATAGCATCAACATTCCGTTCGCCACCGTTCAGCTGGGCGAGCAGCGACTGGAGGCCCTGCAGGTGCCCCAATTGGAGGCGCTGCTGCGGGGCAGGATCGTGGTCTGCGTCAGCAACATTCATCAGCACTCCGTGGAGGTAGGAATAAATCCTTAGCCTGGCCGTAGACGATGCATCAGGCCTTCAGTTTCGTTAGATCTCGAATGGCTCAGCTAAATATCATGTGCACTTTATGGTTGCTGATGCATCGTTTACGATCAGTTTTAAGCAAAAGTTATGCCAATGGCTCAGTTAAATATCTGTTTGTCTTATGGTTGCTGATGCATCGTCTACAACCGATTAATTCCTGTTGTAACCAAAGGCTCAGCTTGGTATCTGTGCATTTAAAGGTTGCTGATGCATCGTTTACCACCAGTTTTAACCAAAAGTTATACCAATGGCTCAGCTAAATATCTGTTTGTCTTATGGTTGCTGATGCATCGCCTATCATCAGCTTTGGCCTGTTTTAACTAAAAGTTATACCAATGGATCGGTCTGTGCATTTTTATGGTTGCTGATGCATCGTCTACCACTAGCTTTACCCTAATGTGTAACCAAAAGCAATCCCTTTACATCCATTACCTTTCAGTTCTCGCACTTTTTGGTGGCCTGCGGCGTACAGCGCACCTGTATTCTTCACAAAGGATTCAATGTCCTGCACTCCATCGAGCCAAATATACTCATCTCGAATTGAGCCCCGACTTGCTGATCGTTTCTCGTTAGCCTCATCGCTTCTGCTCGTCTAGCCTAAGCTCAATGTAAATTTATTATCTTTTTTTAAAACGGAATGTATTTGCAAATAAATAATATATGTACTACGTATATATAACTGATTTGTGCCAGTTTTATCGGGATTTGGCCAGCTAAATTAGTATTTAGCATTAGTACTTAGCTTGTCATTTTCCATAAATCAAAACACTATCGTCTTAACTTGTTTCTTTTCCTTAGATTGTTTTTGTTTTTTTTTTTTTTTTGTAATGATTTATTAAAAAAAAAAAATAAAAACACTTAAACTAATGCTTAACATAAATACATACCAAATTTAATCAAATTTTTCGTTACTTCTTGTTTATTGATTGCTTTTCTCTAAGCATAATTACGTTTAATTGTAAGTAATTTGTATTTGCTTTCTTAGTTTTCAAAATTGTAATTTCCGTTTCGCTGTGCCTTGCATTACATTAAAATTTTAAATCGATTTAAGTTTCAGATTTCTCAACCTGATCTCATTTATATATAATATATATATATATTTTTATATATAGATGTGGGTGTATATGTGCATAAATTTAAGTCAGTTGTGTTTTTTTTTTGTCTGTCCATCTGGTGTTGCTCTTCATTTAAAGATGTTATTCATAGCTTTTTAGTTTTTTCGTTTCTTTTTGTTTTTAATTTATTTAGGTGACATTTGGTTTGTCTATTGCTTTGGTTGACAAAAAATTTGAAAACAGGAAAAAAGAGACAGACACCAAACTGAACCAGCAGCTTGCCGCCGACTCTGAATTCGGTATGTTCTGCAAATCTCTATGCCGGTTTCAAAATAAATTTGTTGTCTCAAAATGTAGTATATAATCTGGTTTAAACTTTCTCCTTAAATCATTTCTAATACTCAAAATCTTACAAAAAAGAGACCGAACATTTCTTTTCGGTGTATAACATAATCTTTACACGCTTGAAAATTAATAAAATTTTCCTTTATAAAATTTTGTAAGTCTTTCACTTTTTAGAAAGTATTTAAGCTAATAAAATATTGCTGAGCTGCACAAATGATTACAATTTCACTAAAGGAAAACCCAAAACTATTTTGTCTTAACTTTAGATGCAAAGAGCGAAAAAAATATCCCTATTGTAGGATACTATGGCCTGAAAGGCCTGGCAAATGTTTAAAAATTTCGAGAATTTATAAAAAAAAAGTCCCATAAACAATGGTTTTTTAAGGCCAAATATTTCGAATTTGCTTTACGAACACCCAAAACTATTTGAAGACCTCTAGAGATTTCAGAACCATCCGCTTTATCATATATCTTGCGATGGTATCTATAGTGTGTGGGGGCTGGATGTGATGCTACTTTGGCTATGGCTAGGCTAATCAGGGTCTTTAGCAGCTGATCGAACGGGGCGCTTAAGCTTAGAGAGACCTTTCCATCCTTAACTATCCTACTTAGTGGGTATGAAGCGCGCCTTGAGCGCCTGACCCATCGGCAGGTGAAGCAGTTGTTGTTGTTGCTGCTGCTGCTGCTGTTGCTGTTGTTGCGTCTGTTGCTGCTGCTGCTGTTGCGCCTGCTGCTGTTGCGCCGCCGCCTGCTGTTGCATGTGCTGGTTGATCTGCTGCTGGATGGACAGGCCACTCACGCTGCTGATATGCTGACTGCTGTGGAGCGGTTCGTTGATCTCGATCTTGATGGCCGTTGCGGAGAGCGTCGTCGCCGCCTTGTTCTTGTTCTTCGGCGGTCGTCCGCCTGCAAAAGTAAAAAACAGTTACCATTAGATATTGAGATAAAGGGTTTTGGCCTAGTCTTATTAACTAAATCTATGTCAATCTATCATATAACAACCATACCTAATAATACAAATTGAGCATTATAATAAAGACAACTCCATTAAGATATGCCACATTCAAATTATTAAGTACTTTATATTGAAATAAAGTGTTTTAATAGTTTATTTGGGTATATGACAATGGAGATTAAATATTTCAATACCATATTTAAAAAACATGCCTGAACATTCCCAAATAATATAATAATATAGATTAAATAATCCACAAAGGCACTATTAAAATAATATTAATAATGAAAATATTTATATAATATATAAATATATATAAAATCTTCATCTATTACTTGATATTTAATTTAACTAATTTTTGGTTATTGAAATTATATTATAATGAGTCTCAGTAAAATAACTTGGTAACTATATTTCCGGATTAAATTTAAAATGTAAAAAACTTGATTTAGATATTGAAGATTCATTTCATAGTTGAAAAGAAGGCGAAATTCATGAGCAGAGGATTTAGCACTGGGTATTTGATTAATTTAAAGCACCTACATTAAAAAACCCATGTCTGAATATACAAATTTATAACAATAACTCGAGTTAGGCATGGATTTGTATTAAAAAGTATTTAAAAAAAGGATTCGTAAATGCTGAATCTTGAATGTGTCCTATTCAAATATTAAATATTGTGATATTGGGCACTAAGATAATGCAAATTGCTCCAAGATTCAGTCGAAATAGAGGACTACTTACGCTGCCCCGTCGTGTGCTGCAGGGACAACGGCTGGCCGATCATCGCCAGCGGTTGTTGTGCCGTCTGCGGCGAGACGGTCGTCTTTTTGGAGCGCTTCGGGGGCGGCAGCTCGTGGTGGGCGTGGTTGGTGAGCAGGTGCTTGGAGAGGTGCTGGCGCACCGCAAACGACTCGGCGCAGTTGGCCACCGGGCAGGAGAGGTAGCGTCCCTCGACGTGCCGCTGCACGTGCTTTTTGAGCAGCGACTCCTGGTTGAAGCTGCTCGGGCAGATGTCGCACTTGAACTTGAACTCGTCGTGCATCTTGAGATGCTGGTCGAGATGCGCCTGCTGCAGGAACTTCTCGTCGCACTTGTCACACTCGTACGGAAAGGCCAGGCCATGGGTCTTCATGTGCGTGTGCAGCTGCGACTGCAGCTTGAAGTTCTTCTCCGGACAGCGGGGGCAGTAGTAGCCGGTGACCCCGGCATGCGCCTGCAGGTGCTGGTTGAGTGAGGTCACCTGCGTGAACTTCTTGTTGCACACGTTGCAGCAGTACTGCTGCACCTTGTGGTGCGACTTCATGTGGTTGTTTAGATTCGTCACCTGCAATTTGAAGAGCTCTGCGTTAATTTTGCCATTTATGCAATACTTAAGTATTCAAAATATTTAATATTTAACACAAGAAGAACCTTAGCAACTTGTTGATTTTCAATTTTAAATTTTAATTTAAATTGTTAAATGCAGGTTATCTTCCTAGAATGGCCAAAGCCCGAATACATTAAATATTAAGTTTTATTTTCCATTTTTGTTGTTTCAAATTTAAAGACATTATTATTTTGAATATTGGATATGAATATCTACAAATAAATATGATTTTAATTGAAGATTAAATGTTTGGTCAGAATACAGACAAATAGTACCAAAAAAGGATGTTTTCTATTGATGTTGATACATATTTTAAAACTCATTTAATTGACTTTTAAAATTATATGGTGCCTACAAAATAGTTATAGTAACAAGCACTTTACGAAACTTGTTCTATGAACATTCTTGTCTTTTTTTTATTATTTAATAATAGGCTCAAATTTTAAGACTCACACTATTGTTATACCGGAATTTCTAGTCTTGAAATCTTTAATTTCGATTTTTTTAATTATTTCCAAGCAAATATTTCCAATAGTTTTGTGGGAAGACAAAGTAATTAAGCACTGTAGCTTCTTTGATTTAGTTTTCTTAAATGATAAAATAGGTTTCCGAGATTTCAATCAAACAAAGCTTATTGCTTAACCAGTGACCCATTAACCTGACCTGGGCGAAACTGCGACCACACTCCGGTTCATTGCAGACGAAGGGCCGTTCGCCGGTGTGAAGTCTGCGGTGATTGTTCAGGTTGGTGATCTGCGTGAAGGTCTTGCCGCAATCCACGCACTGATATGGCCGATCGTTCGTGTGGATGCGCTCGTGGTTCCGCAAGTTAGCCGCCTGCGTGAAACCTAAAAGTCAAGGGAATCGCACAGATAATTAGCGATAGAGATATATACATATATGGTGCATATGTGGTATTTGTAATTAACCCACCTTTGTGGCAGTAGGTGCACACAAACTTACGCTCCGCCGAGTGATTTCGTATGTGCGTCATGAGCGAGGATTTGCGCGAGAAAGTTTTGTTGCATAGCGGGCAGGAGCCCTCCTCGTTGAATATCAGATCCACCTTGAATATAAATAAATAAAATATCGATTTATATACGTGAATTTTTGTGAAAAATATTTTGTACATTTTTATTACAAAAATATAATATCAAATAAGATTATTGATTCATTTAATAGTAATATGAGGCATTGATCAAGCGATCTGGAAATCTTTCTTGTCTATTTTGATAATAACAAATACTTGAAAGAATAAAAAAATCTTCCTAAAAATGTAACTTAAAAACTTTTCTCTTCAACTTTTTAAGTACATATTAATATCCATGAATTATGGCGGCAAAATAGCCAAATGAACAGCACTCACGCTCAACAAGCTGGCGGCCAAAAGAACGGATTGCAAATTCCCGTGCGAATTCAGTTTGTTTATTTCGAAATCACTCAGATTACACTTAATATTTTAAACTATTTTTACTTATTGTTATTATGTTTTGTTTTTTTTTTTTTTTTTTTTTTGTTTTTTGCGTACCACGCACACCCACACACCGAAAAGCGTCAACTGAAAATGAATTTTTTCCGCTTTACACAGCGCACAAAAAGCGCCGACGTCGACGTCAACAGAGCAGATATTAATGGAAAAAGAAGCACAAAATATATGTGTACATATATACATATGTATATATAAATATAAAGGAAAACAAGAAAATGAGCAGTGCGAAAAATTGCAAGCGGAATAGAAAATACTCTACAATTTTGTATCTTAAAATTTTGTATCTTTAAATTTTCAAGTTATACAAAAGATATATTTTTTATATTAAATATTTTCGTTTATATTTTTCAATGTATCTATGTATATACAAAACTATTAAACATTTTGCTTACACCTTATGGTTACAGCCCTCATTGCAAATTTTTTATGTTTTCAACTTTACGTTTTCGAAATACTAAACAAATAACAAATAATATATTTAATTTACATAAATAGGGTATTTTCCATAGTCGACAAGTCCTTTTCTTAATGTTATTTATACTTTTTTTGCAGTTCTCTGTTGCATGATGGAAAAAGAAAGGCAACAAGAACATGCAAAGAAACGACAAAATAAGAAGTGGAAGAAGAAGGGGCAGCTATGAATGTGCAGTATGTATGTATTTATGTGTTCTTTGTGTAAGTGGGGGAGTAGTAAAAAGTAAAAAGGAAAAAATAGCACAACAATAATAAACAAGTGCAGCAGAAGGATCCCAGGAGTCGAATTCCCAGGGAAGTACCTCCCAAAAAAAAGGGGTGAAAGTTCTCTAAAGCCCTGCAACCAATCCAATTGGAATAAATCGAAGAGACTTACAACAGTAAGCCTGGACCTAGTAATTAGTTTTAAATTGGTCATTTTTGGCATCATTTATATTTTACAAGGTAATTTCATAAATTGGATTTTTAAAAAAGTTTAGCTTCTAGATTTGAGTTGAGTTGAAATAGGGACTACCTCTGTTAGTGCTATTATTTTTAATAGTAATATTTTTTTTAAAGAAATTAAGTATTGTTATAATATATCTTTCCAACTTCGGAAATCGGTTTTGAAAAGATTTTCTTTGAGAATTTAACCTTTTTTTTTACCAATAATATGGTAAAGTTATATGTTATGATAGAATTAAAACCGTTACAATGTTTTTAAGAGAAACCAGTGTTAAAAAAAAGAAAAACAATGTAATTTTTCCAACTCTGTATTTACTTTTTAGGGCACTGTTAGACTTTACAAGTGCAAATTTTAAAGAAGTATTCATTATGTAAATTAAAAACTTGAAGATACAAATTAACATTAATTGTCCTTCTTTGGAATTCTGACTTTTGCATCACTGCACTTACGTCTTCGCAATCGTCCTGCGACTGGAGGTTCTCGGAAGAACTGGAGGATTGCATTTGTTGCTGCTGCTGCTGCGCTTGCTGTGAGTGCTGCTGCTGCTGCGGATTCTGATGCTGCTGCGCGACGGCATCACTGTCGCTGGAGGAGGCCGTCGAGGAGGAGGTGGCCGCCGCTGCAGCCGAGGCGGCAACTGCGGCAGAGGCCGAGGCTGCGACTGCGGCCGCCGCTGCTGCCGACTGATGGAAGTTGGAATTATTTGTCAACTGCTCCGAGCAGCGGACGCACGTGGGTATGCTATAGCCGGGCACCTGGAATAACTGTAGAACAGGACGATTATTAAACATCATCATTATTTGATACTTTTTTAAATGAAAAATATTAAAAGAAAAATATCTAATCCAAATAAGTGTGAATTTTATATAAAAAAAATCTTAATATTTTTAAACCGCTTTAATATTTTATTGATACTCGATTTTATTATACTTCCCTTATTAATTTTGATATATTGCAAAAATATAATATTTAAAATATTTTTATATTTAATATAAACCAAAAAAAAAAAAAAACAAGTTTAATATTTTATCGATAATATTAAAGATTACGAGATTACTATTTTACTATATTATACGATACGATAAAAAACATGATAATTTGGTCGGCATTACATTCCTTTTTATACTGATAAATCTTTAGTCAGAATAAAATGCCGTTTTCCAATTGGAGTTTTTGATCAAGAAAAACAAAAGCAAAACAATAATGTTTTTTTATTTATTGTAGCAACCTCATTTCATCTCCTCCCCTCTATTTTCCACCAACTAGAAATAACAACCATGAAGATAAACACACACGCACACACTAACATGGATGAATGAAAAAAAAGAAAGAAGAGAAAATACAAAAACAGCTTGTTGTTGTTTTCATTTCATGTTATTTTTTTTCTTTGCTACAACGTTTTGTTATTCTTTCGCTTTTTGTTTTGTTTTTACCGCCGCTCTACCAGCACACGAAGCAGAGGCTTCCCCAAAAAAAGGGGTTAAATGTAAGTAAGTTATATTGCATAAAATTATTGAATGGATAATTGGCAAAATAAGTTAAGAAACTGGAAAATCTGGACACTGTTAATCATTAAATTATTTGTATTAAAACGAGCTTTAAATAGTGGGGCATTGAATTCGATATCGAAAATAAAAGCAATATAATACAATGTTTAAAAATAATTTATCATGATAAAGATGTTACTGATAAGAGACCTGCAAAGTTTGAAAATGCATTCCCAAAAAGTTGTCAGAATCAATACAGTGATCATTTTAGGCAGCACTTAAAATTATTTGTCAATTTCAAATCACGTACATTTAAAATTAAATTAAAATCAAAGCCTTTACTACAATACCCCCATTAACATGTTCCTCGGTCAGCCTCTGTTTTTTGGCTGCCTTGGCGCAATTTCTGTCATTTTGTTTTATTATGTATTTCTTTTTGTGCGGTTCATAGGTGGAGGGGGCAATGGGGGGCGAAGAAGGGAAAAGGGGGAAGGTTGAAAAGGAGTCAAAGTGAAAAGCGAGCGGCAAGCGTAAGCAAAATGTAAAAATAATATTTTTTCAAGTTGTCGGCTTGAACAACTTTTCGGGCTGAGTTGGCTAAAAATAAAAATTGTTCAGCAATAGTTTTGGGGTCGCATATGTGTGTATATGATATATTTAGGGGGGTAAAGGGGGACAGTGCGCGCGCTTTTCAACCCCCTTTAGAAAAAAAAAACAGTAGCGCCAATTGAATTGTTTAAACTCCCCTCACCGCCCTCACAAAAAAAAATCAATAGAAATAACAAAATACACAACTGATACATAGGTATGTATGCACCTAAATATATATCATATTTTGTATGTATATTATTACCGTTGCCGTTTGGAAGCACAATCTACAGATGGTGTCCATTATAACCGTAATTCGGGAAGAATTCGGGAAGGATGAGAAGGAGAAGGAAGATGCACTGGAAGTCCCTCGATGTTGTTGTTGTTGTTTGCCCCCTCTGTAATTGTTGTTGTTGTCCTTCTCCCTCGCAATTTACCGCTATTTTTACCGGTTTGCATTCAGCTCCTTCTTCTTTTCGTTTTGTTGCTATCTATTTGTTATACGTTTGGCTCTTGGATTTTTTTTTGATATTTTGTAAACACAATGCAACGGGTGCCTGGTTTTTTAACCAACTTTTTTAAGCCTTTTCAGTGATCACGCATTGGGGCAAAAAAAAAAACTTTATACATATATAAATTTGATTTATACAATATTTTCGTTGTACACACACACGCACACACTCACACCGTTGTTTATGTTTGCCTTGCACTTGCACGTACATATACATATATATGTATGCTGTGTTGGTGTTGCTGCTTAATTCCTTTGCTTTTTTTGTTTTTTTTTTGTTTTTCGGTGAGTTACACGTGAAAAAAAAAACAAACCAGCGCGTTTGAGTGCGTTTTTTTTTTTGTATTTTACAATTCACGACGAAGTTCTCGTCTTTTTTTTTTGGGGCCCGATGTTTTTGTTGCGCAGTCTGTGTGTGTAAGGGGGACAAATAAAAGGTGGTCGATATAGCGGTGCTGCTTTAACACAATTGGTTTCAGTCCCCAGCTGTTTAATCGATATTTTATATCGATACTTGTATCCGATTACACGGCGGATAAGTGCTCTAAAACAAAATATGGTATCACTATTGTTTACCATTTAATAATTGTTTTGATGAAATTTAAATAACAAAATATTTGGATAACAACCGAGAAAAAGGCCATTTGCATGTACGAGAGGGCGAACAAACGATAACACGGCATTTATCCGCTTAATAATAATTGAATTTGTGCCTACAGTATTGATTGTACTATTTCAGAGATGGATTGGTCAATAATTCGTGTTTGCCTGGAGGATAAACGTAAAGATAGTCAATATTGCGGAATCCATTGGCCATTCAGTTGAGGAGGAGGATCCCTCACCCCGAAACCATTTGCTTGTCCTGCGAAAAGGATCCACCAGTCGTTCTCCTCCATTAAAGATTTACGGCAAAAGGAAAAATCACATGGACACCAAAAAACCCAGCAGTTTAAATAAGTCCGATTCCCAAGCAAGGATCGAGGGGACAGAATTTGATTGGAGATGATATAGATGATGATATAGACGAAAGTCCGGAGACTCATCCAACGAAATCACGAAAAAGGACCTTTGAATTTTTCGCAATGCTTGAAGAGTTTGACCCCGAGTTCTCATCTACAAATAGACTTTCAAACCCACGCAGTAGATCGACTATATAGATGTTCCCTATGCCCGAAGAGAATAAGCAGGGGCTCAGATATTGAAAATCACACATACTGTTTCCAATGCTTGACCAGTTCTACCCAGATTTCTAATCTTGAGAGACACTTGCGAACTTACACAGAAAAACGACCATTCAAATGTATCCAAAGCTCGAAATTACTTAACTATAGTTCAAATCTTAAGGATCATTTGCTAACCCACGCATTGGAATCCCATTTCAAGTGTTACAAATTGATAATTTAATTCAAAACATAAAAGGAACATCTAACATTGAAGTTTTAAAGAAATTTAGTCATATTTGTATTTGTCAATACAATTTAGTCAAAAGTTTCTATTCATAATTGCTTATTTCTTAAATAATATACTTTGTAATAGATTTGAGAGAGAATTTGGAAATGTTGTTTTTAAATTGATAAAAATTTTGATGTAACCTTAATTGAAAACAGATTTTCTGTATATTTTGATGTATGTATATTTATTGATCTTCCTACATATAAATTTAAAAACAACTAAGTTATTACGATGTCCTCATTTGTTTCTCAATCACTTTTATTATTTCTTTCTATTTCGATTCCGACATATGTATTTCTTGCAATCAAAAGGATACTTTTGGTACAGTTTCATTTTAACTGAGACTGATTAAATTAAACTAAACTCATATTTATTTTGGTTTTAAAAGTATCCAATAAAGAAATGCTAAGTCAATCAAATGTTTCTTGATTTCATACATATATTTATAATTTAACCCACATTTTAAACTTACTAAGTTAACATTTAAATACTTTTGAAAGTATTATCCAAATTCGAAACATGTTAATTACTAAGAAGTTTTTCACATCCAACTCGATAAAATTCATGTAACAATAGTTTTACTCTTAATGACTACTTTTTTTCGGTGTACGCTTTGAACACGCGCACAATTAATCCAATTGCAAATGAAAATAAATAGAAATGGGGATCACTTGAATTAACAATCCGGCCAGGATGATGATGAATGAGCGGGAGGATGCGGTGGACGAGGATCATAAAAGCGACAGCTTCCTTCCCATTGTGAGTGGCTTACATATTTTATTGTTTACCCACTCGCTTTTCCCTTTTCTGCATACATGTGCTCAGGTGTCGAGGACAAAAGCGCCGAAATTGAATTTAATGAAAAGCGAAAGCAAAACAAAACGGAGGAATAGCAAAAAAAAAAAATAAATAAAAGTACGAGGAAGCGGGGCAAGGATCACCCACTTCCGTTTGCCGGCAGGTAAATCCAGTGCCCTACAGGTAGCTGCTTTGCATATTCCCAATCGACGGATCCCGAACCCCGAATCCCGAGTCCCAAATCCTGGCATCCTGCACACTTCCGCAGGAAGCGTGTGAATTAAATGGTTAAAGGGACAGTAGACCCATTCACTTTCCCTGCAAAAAGTGTCTAATGCGCCTAAAAATTACAAATATTGTTGAAATCTATATGTGATATTAAAAGTGAAATGCTTAAAACTAGTTTTTAAAATTACATTCTTATAATATCAAATATCAATCTGGTACGAAATAACTCTTTTTCTCTACGAAAATTTGTTTAAAAAAGTAATGAATTTTTTTTTGGTATTTTAGTAATACTAGTGGTATGATAAATGTTAATCTAACAAATACCTTTAATATAGCGTTCATGGATTTGTGAAGAAGACAATTTTTTGGAAATAAAAAATCAGAATATTTGATTTATTTGCATATGGCATATACCACTTTTATAGTATAAACTTCTTCCAAAATTAAGACTATTTTGAAGGTTTTTCTTCTTAAAAATAAAATAAAATAAAATAAATATGAAAAATGAAAAATGAAAAAGATTAAAGGTAAAGAGTACAAATCTATATTACTTTAAATATGTTCCTGGTAAAAGAGAAACTTGAAAACAACTTTTTTTTTTAAAAGTCTTTTGAAAACACAGAGTACTTAATGTGATTAATGTAAACATTTGGTCTAAGGTTATAACGAAATACTATGTTTGATATGTTTCCTGCTTAAAACACTCTTAACAAAATTAAAACACCTTTGAATGTTCGATTTCCACCAAATAGAAAGAGTTCTTGAAAACGCACTGCAATGAGGGTGAATAATTGAATACATTTCGGGAAGAGCCAATGTCAAAGGGACTACTACAGACTACTATACTATACTATACTACATATATACTGTGCTATAATGACCGACTAAATGGAACCAGAAAGACCGCAATGACGCAGTGCAGCCTTTGCTTCCAAAGGTTGACCGTTGAGTACGTGACTTGGATTTGGTTTGCTAATCCAAATGGATATGGGAATGGGAATGGGAATGGGTATGGGTATGGCTATGGGCATATGCTTGACTCCAAGTGGTAACCTCTTCAGGCCCTTGGAACCGTATAAAACATTCGAACGGATCGTTGTCGATTCACAGTTGAGTGCTGGCGGCTGAAATAGCAACAGTGCCATCTACAGAACACCAAAACGAGGAGTTAAGGATCAGGAGCAAGGAGCTGAGAAACAGGATCAATCATGGCATTGGAAACGGTGCAGGAGACGCTGCAACAGGCGTCATCGTCGTCGTCATCGACTGTCTTGGGATTCAGCCCCATGTTGACCACCCTGGTGGGCACTTTGGTGGCCATGGCTTTGTACGAGTACTGGCGCCGGAATAGCCGCGAATACCGGATGGTGGCCAACATCCCATCGCCGCCGGAGCTGCCCATTTTGGGTCAGGCGCATGTGGCCGCCGGCCTGAGCAATGCCGAAATCCTGGCCGTCGGCCTGGGCTATCTGAACAAGTACGGTGAGACGATGAAGGCCTGGCTGGGCAATGTCCTGCTGGTCTTCCTCACCAATCCCAGCGACATCGAACTCATCCTCAGTGGACACCAGCACTTGACCAAGGCCGAGGAGTATCGCTACTTTAAGCCATGGTTCGGCAATGGTCTGCTGATCAGTAATGGACACCATTGGCGTCATCATCGCAAGATGATTGCACCCACTTTCCATCAGAGCATCCTCAAGTCGTTCGTGCCGACATTCGTGGATCATTCCAAGTCGGTGGTGGCCAGGATGGGCCTGGAGGCGGGCAAATCGTTTGATGTCCATGACTACATGTCGCAGACCACCGTCGACATCCTGCTGTCCACCGCCATGGGTGTGAAGAAGCTGCCGGAGGGCAACAAGAGTTTCGAGTATGCCCAGGCCGTCGTCGACATGTGCGACATCATCCACAAGCGACAGGTGAAGCTACTCTATCGTCTCGATTCCATCTACAAGTTCACCAAGCTGCGCGAGAAGGGTGATCGCATGATGAACATCATTTTGGGCATGACCAGTAAGGTGGTCAAGGATCGCAAGGAGAACTTCCAGGAGGAGTCACGTGCCATTGTGGAGGAGATCAGCACACCGGTTTCCGGTTCGCCGGCTGCCAAAAAGGAGGGTCTACGCGACGATCTGGATGACATCGATGAGAACGATGTGGGTGCCAAGAGGCGATTGGCTCTGCTCGATGCCATGGTTGAGATGGCCAAGAATCCCGACATCGAGTGGAACGAGAAGGACATCATGGACGAGGTGAACACGATCATGTTCGAGGGTCATGACACCACGTCGGCCGGCTCCAGTTTTGCCCTCTGCATGATGGGCATCCACAAGGACATTCAGGCCAAGGTCTTTGCCGAACAGAAGGCCATCTTTGGTGAGAATATGCTGCGCGATTGCACCTTTGCCGACACCATGGAGATGAAGTATCTGGAGCGTGTGATCCTGGAGACGCTGCGATTGTATCCACCAGTACCGCTGATCGCCAGACGTCTGGACTACGACTTGAAGTTGGCCAGTGGCCCGTATACGGTGCCCAAGGGCACCACGGTCATTGTGCTGCAGTACTGTGTGCATCGTCGTCCCGACATCTATCCCAATCCCACCAAATTCGATCCGGATAACTTCCTGCCCGAGCGGATGGCCAACAGGCACTACTACTCCTTCATTCCGTTCAGTGCCGGACCGAGGAGTTGTGTGGGCCGCAAGTATGCCATGCTGAAGCTGAAGGTCCTGCTCTCGACCATCGTGAGGAACTATATTGTCCACTCCACCGATACGGAGGCGGACTTTAAGCTGCAGGCCGACATCATCTTGAAGCTGGAGAATGGCTTCAATGTCTCGCTGGAGAAGCGGCAGTATGCCACGGTGGCCTAAGTGATCCTTTTTGCGGGGAATAAACGACACCGCAAATACCCTGTACATAGATGATGAAACCCGGCAGTCCCGCAATCCAGACATTCCGAACACCACGAACACCACGGACACCACGATGACGAACTCAGATAGAAGATACCCGACACCGAACCAACGCACAAGCCAGCCAGAGAGTCAACCAATTTTTTTTTATTTCTTTCTTTCTATACTACTTAATACCCTACCTTAATTTTTCTTCACTTTTTTTGTTTGTTGGTCTTTAGCGGGTGGTGCCCCTATATACGTTTATATACCATATACTCTATATATTCTCTTTCAAACCAACTATTCAACGCAACTGTTTGTGCTCTTCACCTATTTTTCTATCTATCACTCTTTTTTTTCCTTAGCCATGTAGTGTGATTTTTTTTTTCCCCTCTATTCTAGTATTTATTAAGTCACATGGTTTGAATGAAACCCAAAAAATATGAAAAATACATGTACAACGTAGCAAGCAGACAATGGAGCTGCAAAAAAAGTTTTAATTGCACACATTCTGGTTTTCATTTATATTTGGGGAAATGGAAAGGGGTTTTAAAACAAAGTTTTAAGTGATGACTGCTTATTTTCTAAATAGATTGAAAATAAGTCATAAGGTAATTCCCTTATACAACAAATTCGAACATTTCTATGCTATATTATAAAATTAAAAAATTAAAATCATTTTGAACAAGAAGTTCTTAAAATATTATATTGGACTTAGTATACAAGTACAAGTATATCACTTAAAATTTACTGCGCTAGTCAAATCGAAAACATGAATTTCCTAATTTAATGCAAACAAAATTATTTAAATTTCATTATATTTGAATTGGATTGATATATCATTTTTTTTTTTAGAAATTTAGTGGTTACATTTTATGCAAGACTTATACATATATTTAGTTTGGTATCTCTAATTATGATTTTATATTTTTGTGCATATGAAATCGATATGCTGGCTACTGAATTATCCTATTTTATACACTTTTCTTTGTGTGCATGCTGTATTGTGTTGGCCATGGAAGACCTTGTTGTTGGTCCTTTGCAATCATCGGGTTAATGCGCTAATGCGAGGCAATCGGCAGTTTGCAAAACCGCTGGCAATGTCAAAATATTTATGCTCTTGGCTTTCTGTCCTTGGCCAGGTATTTTCCATTTATTTGGGTTTATTTTTTTTTCACTTTTTGCTCACATCTTCGGGAATACCTGTTCGAATTTGTTAGCATTATGCTGATCTTAAGTCGACACCTCATTCGCTTGGCGATTTGTAATGCGATTAATCGGTTGCAGTTTGCGATGCTGACAAATGCAAATGCTATTGTGCCGAAATCGGTAGCAGTTTATCGCGGGTTTTTTTTTAGGCAAAAAAAAATAGGAAGGGGTAAAATGTAAGGAGATATATTTTTTTTTCGATTAGCTGAATTCCGCCTTGGGAGTCGGCTTTCACTTTTGGTCTTTGGCAAATTTTCCGTTCGATTTTCGTTCGATTAACGAGCATCGCATTACGAAATACGGAACGAAACGGAAATCCTTTCGTTTTCTTCCGCATTTCCTGATTAATGGAACCCTTCCTTCCAGCATCCGAAAAAAAACGGAAAAAAGGACATGCAGCAGGTCCCTGACAAAAAAAAAATACAACCAAGCGATACACATCGATTCTATTTGGTCGTTGTCCTTTTTTTTGTTTTTGTTTTTTTGCTAGGCAAATAGCGGCGTTACCTGTGTAAATCGGGAAACTCGGTAATCCAATCCAATGCTTTTCTCGGCCTCCGGATGTTTGTGCACATTCATTGCGTTTTTTATGGCGGAATCCTTTCGAAACGCCAACATACAAATGTCCTTCCTTTGATGACAGCGACTTGCCCGATTTTCTAATGTCCTTCCACGTGGTAACCATAAAATTGAGGTTTTTATACTCTTTCCTTTGAGATTGGCATGGTTGGATTGGTCCTTTCAGCCCGATTTCATTCTTTTGGCATGTGCTGAGAAGGAAATCGTTAATATATTTTATAAATTGTTTTCGGAATGTTCAGGCTGTCATTTCACGGTCCACACTGACCAGGTGCTACAAAAATGGGTAGTGAAATCGTCTTTTAGTTTCTTTGCTTTTGAGTTTTAAATATTAGGATTTGATTATTTTATTTGGAGTATTTATAATTTAAAGAAACATTAATTTGTTATATTTTCATGCCATTGACAATTATGTCGAAAATATTCGGAGTTAAATATCGATTTTAGTTAAAGATTCATTTATATTTCATTAATTCCGAATTAAATATAGTTTTAAGCATTTTACTCATGTTTTTTTTGTAACTAGATCTTTTATAAAAAATATGATTATTATTTTTTTATACACTGTGATCACCAATAAAGGAAGTTAAAGACAGTCTTCTGGTTTTTGGGGGAAATCGTTTGGAATGGAAGCTGTTTTGGAATGGAATTGCATTGATTGAGCTGCTTCCGGGATGTCTTCGTGTGGTCCTTCCTTGAAGGACCCCACAGCTAGCCAGGATGGCATATATTCTTGGGTCCCTGAATCACATTGACGCATTGTCGTCTTCAAGTTGCATTCAAAATAGGGCTTCAAGGGAATAGAGAGTAAAGAGCTCGGGGAATTGTCGAACAAGGACCTGTTTGCAAGGACATCTCAATCAACAATATAGCAATGCAAAACGCTTCCTGTGGAGTGCGCTGCCCATTGAATTTGGCCAACAGAAACAGTGTCAAAATTGTGTGTTGTCATACAATCGTTCCTCTGATGACTCAATGCCGAGTACTCTACATTATCCCAGTGAATAAACTACAGTGGCCACCCTGTGTGCAAGCCGTGTCAAAACACGGCCGTATTGTACAGGGAATACCAAAGTACGAGACCCACGTGGAGTTTGCTGACTGGTGACATCGGGAAAATGTCCCAAGAAAACATGTGCAGCCAGGCCTGGGGAGCAGTTTCAATTAATGCATCTAAAACTGGAATCCACATGTGTTGTCCTTATGCCACTCGTTTTGGAGCTGCACTCACAGAAAAATTGTAAAGTCAGCAAATATATTTAAGTCATATTTAGAAAATATTAGCCGATAAGTAAATATAAATATGGAAAACAATATATTAAAATGTGCCAGCTAAGCTCACAAATTGAATTTAAATTGTTTAAAGTTTTAAGGGTTCTGTAAGTAAATATATAAATGTGGAAGAGTAAGTTCACATTGTTAAATGAACATCTCTTTCAATTTCAAATTTAATAAAATATTTTGATATTGATAAAACAGCTGCTAAAACTTTAATTTAGTGTTCTTGACCAATTCTCGAACTTCTTTATGTATCATAGATATAATATTTATTATAAGACTGCTGAATTTAATTCGATACTTTTAAAAATGTATATATTAATGTGCCTTTTCATATATAAACAATAATTGTGTAACAGTTTTATTTATAAGTGAAATTTCGAAAATGTTTTCTGAAGTGCATCGCATTCCATAGTTTGGATGACTACAATATGGAACCAAGTTGCGAGTCATGAATGAAATTAACTCGGATCTGTCAGCCGCAGCCATACGCAAGATCATCTTTGGTTGAAGTGGAAAATAGGAAAATGGAAATGGGAAATGAATAATGGAGGGGGACTTAGGTGAACCACAGTCGATTCCAGAAAGTGTTAACCTGCTTTTTTGCCGACTGTTGGCCAGCGTTATCCTCTTGACCTGGTTTCACAAATCGCTGGATTAACCGCTTAAGGGTTTTAGCCACAAAGCGCACACTTAAGTGTCTCATTGTGCGTTGAAGTACGTCCACTCGAAGATATAGAACCAATTGAAAACTATGGACAACAAGTAGGGCCACAAAAAGCTGCTTAAGTTTAAGTAGCTCGGCTTATGCTGCGGTTAATTTCGTAAGCCACAGCAAGTAGTATAATTGCCAAAAAGAAAATATCTATATCCCAGAGAAAACTGGGTTAAGAAATCAGAGATGAATGAAATCGGTTAAAGGAAATCCTTGAATGAAACTAGTTCACAAAGAATCAGCGTGGATTAGTGGATTAGGTACTCAGGAATGTGGTCAAATCGCCTAAGCACTTAACTAAAGAAAACTGAATGAATCTGGGTATGAATGGGCCAAGGAACTTCTTATTTTCCACTCAAACAGTCATCTCATATAGCTTATCAACTTTACTTTTAGTTTTTAAAATGTATTCGATCCAATTTTAAATTTTATAAAATAAACATATGATGTTATAAAGTAGCTGCTAACATTTTTCGTTTTGTTTCTAAAGTTGATTTATAATATTATATATGAGTAATATTAATTATGAAACTGCTGTATTTAATTCGGTTTTCTTTTAAAGACCTTAGCTTAGTTACGTTATATAAATAACATGATAATATTCGTGAAACTGCTCTATTAAAAACACTTTAAAATACATTGGACTTATTCATTTGGCACCCCATTTTTATATAAATAATATGAATAAAAATTATGAAACTACTCTACTGAATGCTGTTTATTACCAGAAATTTAAGCCCCAAAATCTGAAGCAAAACCTTTGTCTGAACTTGTGTCATCTGTCGCAATTACAATCTTTACAATTTTAACCACCAGCCAGCCAGCTCGTGTTCGATCGGGTCAGAGATCAGCACCTGGCTGTCTGGATAATGGTAATGCAATATGCCCCGAAATCGGAGGATTGTGGGGATCGATCAAGTCAACGGTATAAGCATGCGCACACGCTAAAATGAACCGAAAAAAAAAACACAGAGGGGTATCCAGTAATACAGTAATAACTCATTATTACACACGCAATGATTTATGAATATTCAATGGTGACATGTGGGGGCGTGACCCCAAAAAGGCAGAACGACGGGGAAAATCAAAGGAGCTATGAAACCAAATCCTTCGATCGAAGGACACGAGCTGTTTTAGGGATACCTTTTGGGATTTCATCTGTCCTTTAAGCCTTTCATGCAATCACCAAAGAGGAAAAAAAAAAATCAAATTAAATGTAAACCAAACTAACGGCAATGATTTCCGAATTCAAAACGGGAAATATGCGAAATTCGATCCAAAATCGAAGGTGTACGGTAAACGGGCGTGTCGCATTACCAATATTTAATAATTATAACGGTGCGTGAAAAAGATTTTCACTGCTAACGGTGAACGGTGAACGGGGCACCCACCGCACACACACATACACACACATACGCAGAAAAATTGGAAAAGGTAGGAAAATACCTTTGCACCTGGATCGGGAAACTGGAAACTGCTCGACAAAAAGGGGGTTGTAGGCGATCTCAGGAGCTCGGAATGTCGAGAAATTCGGGATAGGGCCAACACAAATACACTTCTACACTGAGCGAAAGTCACATCTTCATTTAAGAAGAAAATTCTAGACTTGCTGTTCCGAATTAAATTTCGGACATTGGTACATTTGCTTTTATTTAAATATCATTGTATATAAAATAACTTTAAAGTTCTATTTTATTGTTTAATCCTTTACAAACAATATAACAATAATAATGGACTTATACCATTTTGTTACCAATATAAACATTTTTTTTAGCAATTAAGTCAATTAATAAAAAAAAAATTAAAATATTCAATTACAAAAGTACATTTCATAATTTTATGATTGGTGCATTTGGTTTTTATTAAAGTATAACGTGTTTAACAAACAAAATGTAAAGGCATTTCAAGTCAATAAATAAAAAGTAAAAGTTAAAATATTCAACTAAATAAGTGCATTTTATTATATTTAAACTTAAGTGAACTTTTCGCATTCGTGTTTTTAATTTATTTTATTTATCGTCAGTCTTTTTACAATTTTTTCCTTGCTTACATATTTTATTTTATTTTGTCTTTGTATTGCTTTCTTTTTTTCTGTGTATAACTCGGATTGGATTGGGTTTTACGGTTTTTCGGGCTCCGCAGATGCACTTCTTAACGGCAGATCCTTTGGCACAGGCCATCTTTTCTTAATGGCCAAACGATTTTCAATTGATTTTCCTCATTGTTTGGGACGTCTTGGATAATTTTGCATCATCTATATCCTTTGGATTGGCGCGTTTTTGCTTTTTTCTGTTTATTCTCCCGTTTTTGTCCTGTTTGGGCAGATGTCCTGCGAGCAAAGGGACACGTAGGCACAGAACAATGAGGTCCTGCATACAATTAGCCTGGAGAGTCTAGCGCCAAGTCAGCGTGAGGGTGAGAAAATATTGTGTAAATAATGAGGAGAGCAGTCAAGATTTTGCTACTTTAAATGCCAAAAGTATATGCCTGCATATTACATATCTAGATATTTTCAGGAAAGTGAATGAAGAATGTGCGAACAAATGGTCTTATACTTTGATATTCAAAAGATTTTGTTTTGCTTACTAAATAATCCATTTCTCTATTTTTTCTTAGACTTCTTAACACGCTATTTCAATTATTACAAGTTGTTATTTAACTAAACTTAACTTAACCTTCCTCAAAATTAATATATACCTAAATAAACAATTTTTTATATACCAAAACTCCGTTTTTATTGATTGTTCTCACCATTTTCTGACAGCAGATCCTTCATTCATTTATGCAAATCCCAAAAAACAACTCGAAAGCTTTTAAATTAACTAATCGATCAAAGATTCCATCTAAAGATCGACATTTTCAAGATCAGTACATTTAAGACCCTGTTTTTTTTAGGGTTTGCGGCTGCCAAGTAAAATCCCTAATTAATATGCACTGATGTCCTTACCCTGCAGTACTTTCCTCCCTTTTTCCGAAACTCCCTAGTATTTCTCCACCTCCTCCACCCCTTTTTTTGTAGTGCATTTTTAATTACTTGTGTCATTAGGATCGGGGCACATGTTCAAACCGAACCGTTACAATCGAATCCCAACCACTTGCAACTAAGTTCCGAATTCCCAATTCCCAGTTCCCATTTTTGATTCCCACGTTGCAGGGTTACGAAATTCGAAATTCAAATATCTCTCATATGCCACTGTCATTTATCAGGACATGCGGACATGAGGCTCATTTGAATATCGGGGCACTGGAGCGCAGTGCCTTGCAGGATCTGCTACCCTCTTTGCCACACTCAAAAAAAATCCCCTTCAAATTCAATCTTAACGGGACATAATTTTCACATTAAAAAAATTGTTTTTAAATAATGTCTAACGCTTTTTAAAACAAATATAGAAAGTATGTTACACAAATGAACCGACTTAAAAAAGAATTAAATTTCGTTATTCACAAAAATAGTATTTTATTGTCTTAAATTTGGATTTAAATTGATAACATAATATATTTATGAATAAATATGTTTCTGTATTTTTGTTTTTTATAAGAAAAACTTATTTTTTGAGTGCATATGCAAATATTCTCCGTATCCTTGTTTTGCTCTGTATCTATCCATCAGGCGGCGAGTCCTTTTTGCATGCTTGGACGCTTATGAAAATGAACATGATATTCCGATTCCATTCCTCTTTTTTTTTTTTTTTTTGATCCGATGAACGTGCATGTTTGCCAGTCATTAAGCATTATTTTTGAAACCCTATATGGTGGGCAAAACCGTTAGATATCGGATCAGGACTCTGGGAACTAAGTTCGATCTCATGGGGATTAGTTTTACTTCTTCTACGATGGTATATTTGTTATTTAATATCTTTAAATAGCTGACGATTATATATTATATTTATGTTTATAAACAATAATAAAATAGCTGAAAAAGAGTTTTAAGTGACATGTAATTCACCATATTCCCATTGGCTTAACCAAAAATCACAACAATTAATTGATTTTCACAAATTTTCATATATTTTCGCTTTATATTCAGAGGCAATAGTTATCTCGCTTATCAAAACAACATTCGTACAAATTAAATCTATGAAAAAAATTGGTTACTTAAGTAAGCACATTAAAAAAAAAGAAATACATTAAAGTGGTTAAGAGATTATAAACTAGGACTGGCTCAACATTTAGCTCTTTATCAGGTTAACTATTTTTGTGTGTTTGTGTCTTAGTATCGGATTCGATTTGGTTTTTTATCACTAGATGACTTTCATATTCGCTTTCGTTCTTGGATTCCTTTTTTTTTATTTTTATTAGCTATTTACACAATGACTCAGTCAAGGCTTGGTTTAAAAAAAAAAAACTGCAAAATATACATAAAAATCTTTAGAGTTTTGAAATCTCAAAAAGTCAACCCGTTAGATGGGTTAAGGTAGGGTTTTAATAGAAAATAGACCACATATTTTAAAGGGGTTTTGAAAAACTCTAGAGCTTTCTGTGGCACCGACGCACAAAAAACACTTTTGTTATGCGTAAAGTGCCATTGAAATCTCTAGAGTTTTGAAATCCCTTAAAAATGCTGCCTAAAAGTAGACTTTAAAATGTTTAGACACCTTTATTTTGTGGGCTTTCGCAAACTCTAGAGACTTGTGATAGATTAGTGATTTGGCTACATGGACAGATTGGTGGATGTGCCATCGGATTTGGGCGTGTGCGCCTCCCACCAATCGATGGCATCGATCATGCTCTCATCGGATAGGCAGCCACCGGCGGTGTTGTTGTTGTTGTTGCTGTTGGGCTGCTCCTGCTGCAGGATGTCGCTGAATTCCTTCTTGAAACCGGGCAACACCACATTGTCGTAGAAGCTCACGGGTTCCTGGTCATAGAAAGCGGGTAAAATGGGCGAGGATCCAAGGATTTGGACCTGCTGTTGCTGCGGTGAGCTCAATGTGTTGCTGCTGCTGTTGATGTTGATGTTGCTGCTGCTGTTGATGTTGATGTTGTTGCTGCTGCTGTTGGAGTATTCCTGTTTGATCAGTTGCTGTTGCAGCTGGGCGGCACATGCCTGCAAGAGCAGCTCGTTTGCGGCAACAGGTGAAACTGGCGAGGAGCAGGGACTACTACTACTTGCCACCTTTTGTGGCACGGGCGATGGGGCAGCAGCAGCAGCAGCAGCAGCTGTTTCTTCCTGCTGACTACTTAAATCGCCCAATAACTCAGCCGTTAATAGTTGATAGGTACTAGTGCCCGGTATCCTGATGTACTGCATCCCATTCAGGGTAGTCAAACTGGGCAGGAGATCGGTGGCAAGTTGATTCTGATTCTGGTTAGGATTTTCAATCGGCAAACTGGGTAAACTGGGCAAACTGGTCATGCTGGCCTGCTGCTGCTCCTCCATTTCATAGTTGCTCAGGGAATCATCGAAATGCTCGTCCAGTCCATCGAACTCGTCCTTGATGAACATGAAGCTATCGTCACCGGAACCCGAACTATTGCCACCCTGGCTGTTGAGTGGCGGGAAATCGAAACCGAGCAGCTTCTCCAGACTCCGGATGTACTCCACGGCCATGCGTAGGGTCTCCACCTTGGACAGCTTCTTGCTGGCACCGCGTCCGGCGCCCTGTGCCTCGAATGCCTCGGAAACCTCCTCGGGAATCTTGTCGCGCAGCAGGGCAAACCCATTGTTGACCTGCTTCACGCGATTCCTTTCCCGGGCATTCCGACGGGCCACAGCCTGCGGCAGCGGCAATCCCTTTCTACCCGGAGTGCCTACAATGGCTTCGCTTGGGTTGCTTTTGCCAGCGTTTGGCGGTATATTTGGTGTTTTCGGGCCCGACTTTTCCCCAACCGATTTCTTGCTGACTTTGGTTCGCTTTGCAGGCACTGCCAAACTTTTGCTGGGCTGCTGATTCTGTTGATTTTGCTGATTCTGTTTGGACTCGCCCAGCGGTCGCTTCCTTTGGCTGGGAATCGGTGTGGTGCTGGCACTATTGGCCACGGCACTTTGCACAGCGCCCAGCATGCCAAAGTCGCGAATTTTGCGTATAATCGTATTCTGATTGGCAATATGCTGTTGCAGCGCATTGGCGCCACTCTCACTTAGGACATTGTGTACGGTTATCTTGCCAAAGGGTTTTAGGGTGGCCTTGGGCGGGTTTTCCTTGGCCTCCTTGGGCGGTGGGCTGAAACTCAAGGCAGCCATTGCGTTAACGATCCTTGTGTGTCCTACTAGCTTGATGGTTTCAAATGGACTGCCTTGTAATGTGGTTTAGTTTGGTTTAGTTTTGGCTTTCGGTGTTTTTTTTTTTTTTTTTTTTTGGGACAGCTGCTTGTGCTACTGCTGTGTGGCGTTCTGTGTCGCGTGCCCCGAAACTCCGAACTCGAACTAAAACGAAAAACTCAACGGAAGTGACTTCGTTGACTGACGAGGCATTTGAGGTCCTGCGTATCCCTTATGTAAAAAGGCCTCAGCCTGACTTTTCATCCCCTACACTGGGGTGTCCTTACCTTACCTTTCGATCGCACACACACACAGAGGCACACACAAATAACTGAAATATATAGTATTTCATATGGAGTACGGCTTTTGGGAAAACTAACATCTGATCACAGGGGACTCGAGCCAAAAACTCCACCTGGCCTAAGGGTGGATTTCGCCCCGTTCTCTCTCTCATTTCATTTTATTTTGTATTTATTATCGGGCATAAGAACAGCATGTTTATATACCGCCCCTCTCAACGTACCACTATATATATATATATAAATATATGCATATAATAATAACCATATATAGGTATGATCATAAACATATTGTATAGTCAGTAAGGGGAGCTTTGGCAGCCCTGGTCGCGAAGGTAAGTGTACCTGAGAATCCAGCGGAGCAGTCAGCACCTTGGATTCCCACACACACACACACACACACACACTAGTCATAGATCATATTGGTTCAATAAAAAAATAAAAAAAAAAACGATCTCTTAAAAGTTTTACAAAAATAACTAACAGTAAGAGTATAAAAAGTTGATAAGACTTAATATTTAGGGTAAATCAATTAAGTTATGTTAGATTGGATGCAAACGTTCAAGCATTTGTACTGTTTCCTAAAATTATTGTTTGGATTTAAATAAATATTATATCTTAATTGGTGAATTTAATTTTTAAGTAAATATGCGTGAAACAGAAAAGATCATTTGAGAAACATAATATTTAGGATATGGATGTTATAAAAAAATGATGATTTTAATTTGTTAAACATTTAAGCAATTTGTTGTATCATTCATACCTGAATTTCTTAAGTATTTATTTGTAAAACAGTTAAGAAATTTTTACTGTTGTGTCACCAAATCATTTGAGAGTTTCAAGGCAACCAGAACTAATTTTCAGCTATGAAGCAAAGACATTTCCAATCAATGAAAACTGAAAGCATAAAGGCCATACATCATCGAATCAACGACTTGTCAGTTTCATTTAACTTTCCACTTAATCAAGAGGCTAGCGCAGGACTATCTTTTGTGGCATTTCCCAAAGAGATCCTGGAAAATAAAACCAATCACGATCGGCATTGTGCGAAATCATTTGCCAATTGTCGGGGCTAATTAAGGGAAATTAAAGAAGGCGAGAGGAGCGGCAAGATCCTGGTGAATTTGTTCGCCCATAAATCCTAATTAAAATTGACAAGATGCGAGAAGAGCCGATCTGAGAATCCTTTGAGGGGTGAGAAAAAACACCCATCCTTTCTCCAGCTACTTACTTTTTTTTCCTTTCGTTGTGTTGAGCTGAAAAATCTCTGGCAATTAGTCTGGTGGGAAAATAAAATTTAACCAGTAGTCTAGTTTTTTTGTTCAGGGAAGCTTAGGTCTGTCTGTGGAAACTAGTTTTCGGTCCAGTGTGTGTGCTACAATAAACTTTTTTCGGTCGTGGCCCTCAGGTAGTTTCGAACAGACCTGAGTATATAGAGGAGTATTCATACGTATATGTGTGTGGTACTTGCTGCACAATTTATAAACTTGAGTTCACTTGAAAGGTTCAAGGAAACGACTGCGCCGACTACCGGTTTTTGATCCAGGATCTTGACGATCCTCGATCCTCGATTCTCGATCCTCGAACCTTGTTGCTCGTTGCCTAAAGAAAAAAAAAGGAGTCAACGTCAATGGTTGTGCGTACTGACGAGTATTATTCAAGTACTGAGGAGTCCTTGCTGCTCGGTATCCTTTGTTGTCCTTCAAGGCTTTGACTCGGTTGCGTCCCACTTTGACGACGCGACGCGACACGACGCGACACGACACGCCCCCTTGCCCCCCGCCCCCCTGACACGCCCCTCCTGCACTGCCAAAAAATTAACGGACAAACAGGAAAATATCCTAAGACATTGGCAAAAGTTTCCAGAATATATCCTTAAGCCATAAAACTTTAAAATTGTATTCGTTTCACGTTTAGTAAAGTGTTAAACAGACTTTTTCTATTCAGTTTAAATCTTATTCATGAATTAATCATTTTTTATAGTGTACCCAGCTGAGCTTTGTAATAAAAATAATAATAATAATCATAAATAAATAATAATGAATATATTTTGTTGCCTTTTCACAACAACCCCCGATGGTATTATAATTTGTCTGATTCTCAACGGGGTTGGAAAGTCTCATTAATGCAGCTCGGTTCTCCCTATAATTCTCCGTTTCTTACACTCTCGCAGAAAGGATATATTTATAATGTAAAATCTGACAAGATCTCTAATGGAATTTGGGTAAATAACAAGTCTTAAGGTAAAAACGACAAGTTGTCGTCTTTCGAAAGTTGTTTTTCATCCCTTAATTTATGGTTGATCTTTGTATATCAATTTAATAAATAAAATTTAAAAATTGAGCTTGCAACGCTTTTTCAACCCCCAAGGATGTCAGATAAATCTTCTAAATTTCACCCACTCCCTAGAAAACTAACATCCTGTGTCCAAAAACTCTGGCATTCTCGTCTTTTAGGAAATTCCATTTCATTTTAACTTTCATCTTTGGCGGCTTGAGAAAGTACAACAATTTGGGCAAACAAAAATTAATTTCGATCTTGGGATTGGCAAACGCTCCGATGGTTTCGTGTTTATTTGCATTTTGAAAAACGCATCGATTTCAATGGGAACAAAATTCTTGAATGGGAAAAGAAAGGAAAAGAAAAAAAAAAAAAGGGAGCATTGGAAATATGAATATAGATGATGAGTGAAATTCGAAATGGGAGTGAAAGCGGTGAGCAAACAGATGGAAAATATGCATACACGTTCTTTTTTGTTGGGTTTCACACTCGGCAATCGTAAATCAATCAGGCAAAGCAATCAAATCCCTTTGACTTTGATTCCCAGTGATCAAATTGGCTTGGCTTTTCCCATTCTTATTCATTTTTTCCCCCTCTTTTATTTTCCCATTTCTGTAACCGGAGGAAGGCGCCGAGTGAATGGGTCTACGAATAAGTAGTCCCCAGGACTCATGTCTTCATGTCCTCATGTCCTATGTGTACTTGTCGTCAGCTCAAGTGGATCCTTCTGGATCCTCGGCTCATTCGGCATCTGTGCGCAGTTGTGCGTTCATAAATCGCCTCATTGCCTCCTGTTTTCCTTTTCATACGATTTCATATGATTTCGTCTTTGGATTTATGAGTGGCGGAAACTTGAAGGAACGGAAGTCTCGCTGTGGAAGTCCTCGAAATAACTTCGGGATCAAGCAGCCCAGAAGGAAAAGTGACAGGACCCAGGCGAAGAACTCAACAAAAGGATCGCTCGGCGGGGGATCTCAATCCATTTCTGATTGTCAAATGGTATTAATAAAAATAAAAATTAAAACCTTTCTAATATATAATATATGAGAAGCAAGCTAAAAATAAACACACAACTTAACTTATGTTGTCATATCCTTAATTATTGTTTTACACCTCTAAAAGTTGGACATTTGTTTTCCTACAAATTAAATATTAAATATTTGAGTTTAACATTTTAAATTACGTTTTAAAACTCTTTTTTTATACTTTTAGATTTGGAAAAGATAGAACTTAATAAGCTTAAAAAGTTACATAGAATGAGTAATGGAATGTATAACGCTTTACAAAAAATATTTTTTTTTTTTAATTTTGTGATTTCTGAGTATAAAAATTTGATAATTTTTTGCTGTAGCTAGGTTAAACTCATGACCTTTTTTTTTATAAACAAAATTCTTTTAATTTTACTTATACAATGTACTTCGGAAAATGGCTTGCGCCAAAAGTGTGCGACTGCCGTCCAGTTTTCAGTGAACATTTTTCGAGAACAATGAAAAGCGAAAATTGTGAATTTCCCTAAAAAGTCGAGCGCAGCTGAGTGGAATGCTGAATTGTTGTTGTGCGATCGCGCACGTGCCTCATTGCCCTACAAAAGTGTGCGTGAGTGTCTGTGTGACCGTGCATGTGTATTGAGATTGTGCCCTACCTGGGACCCTATACACAGAAAAAAATTACAGCTCTATTTCAATTCAATATGAGTTTAATGTAAATATGTTTTTTTGTTGCTATTGCTTTTATGACACTGAAATGAATCTTATTTTGGCATCAATTAATCAAATGTTTACTTCTTGAAGCATCGTTTTAACCATTTCGAATATGGTTAGTTAAGTTATACATAAACATATTTTTATAACGTGTACGAAATATCGTACATTTTTCTTTCTGTGTAGGGAACACCATGACCATGCGTATATATGGGAGTATATGGTATCGGGGTCCTTTGGCGCGCTTTTCGGGGGTTGACAAAGAACCATAAATTATCCTCACCCTCTCTTGCACTCTCTCTCTTTTCTACACTCGTCCCTACCCGCTCACTCTCTCCCTCAACCGCTCCCTCTGTTTTGGGCCAGATCCTGTTCCGATCCTATCCGATCCTGGCCCCGATCCTGATCCAACCTGGGCATATATCGCTCAAGGCGCAAATGTAAATAAAAAGCGGCACGGAAAATTAAGCAATACACGCGGAGAAAATCCAATAGAATATTTTTCAAACTTATAAGCTTAAGCTTTCATATATTTTCTAATTTACATATTCACAAATAATTTTAGGCTCATTCTAAAATTACTCGAAAAATAAATGTTAAAAGCATTAATTACCAGCTTTATTTGGTGTACGTGCAAACAATTTATTTTATTTTAGTATTTATTTTAAAGGTTCAAAACAGCTACTTAACCAAAAAATAACATTTATTTTATACAGCATTTATTTTATAAGATTGCGCAATTTAAAAAATTAATCTCCTAAATTTAAAACCGAATCCCCATTTTCCCCTATATTTTGATTTTATGTGGCTTTATTTTAAAGTATAGATTTTAAGATTTTCTTGGACTAATTTTAATTAAGTCAATAG